CAAAGGAGTGGATTTTATTACTCAATGGGAAACGAAGGTGTCCTATTTTAAACACATAGAATAACACGTTTTTTGCACAAAAATAATATTCACCCAAGTAATTTGTGCTGTTAAAATACGTCAAAAACAGCGTTAATATAATATTTTACTAATATCATAAAATAGAGACAAAGAAGAAGCAGCTTCTACTGGGAAATGAGCTCTGCCTGCGGATAAACGTGTTACACCAGATACTATTAATGCAGATACCATTGTAAGCATTTATGATGCTGAAAGGTAAGACAGACAGTATAAAAGAAGTCTCGTTCATTGAATTACAGAGGGAAGGGGAACTAAATGTGCCCAATTACAGCTCAAGAGATATCTTAAATCACACAATAGATATTTTGGAAACGGTATCCGATTTTAACCCAAAAAAATTTAAATAAACCTCTTTTACAATGCATTTTTTATTAGGAAAAACTTTTCTGCTCCATTATGACATAAACGTTCAAGTCTGATTACAGTATATCGGTCTCAGTAGTAGTGACTCGTCTGTGGATTGCGATACGACCTTAGTCACCAAAATACTAATTACAAAAGGTCACTTCATTATTTAAGGTCAACATAAGCTCCCTAAAGGATCTCATAAAACCATAAGCTACTAAGACTGGGTCGAAGATAAACATGAGTACGAATACCGTATAATGAAAAAGGAACTAATTTTGAAAAAATGACTTGCTTCCCATGAATAAGCTCAGATTATCAAAAGGGGCCGATGGCCTCATCATTTGAAGGATATCTAGGTTTCCTAAAACAAAAACATCTGTGGCGAAATGCATTCAATAAAAAACGTTATCATAAACATAATTCAATCAGGAGAGATTATTTTGACAACCTCACGCTTTACTGAACCACACCCGGCATGTTACTTTACCACAGATAAATGAGCTTGGGTGAAATACAAAATAATAGCTTAGCTGGAAGCACTCCAAAGAAAGGAGAAGTGGCGAACGGGAATGTACCTCTCCGCGCAGGAGGTAGTAGAGGGGTGGTGCGCGAAGAAAGAGAAAGACGAGAGGCCAGAGGGAACCTTGTCCACACATGTGCCGACAAAAGCGACGGTGTTGGTGAGAGTCTCCACAATGCGCTGCCAGCCCACCAAGAGGATGCGTGAGACCAGAACCTCACCTACCCGCCGCCGCGATCGCCCCACTTTCAGTGCCTCGTTCTCACTTCCCCCTTCCGCCTCTCTGCCACCGCTGTCTACGGATCCAATGGCCTTCTACGGAGCATGTGTACAAAATTAAATAAGCAAAGTATGATTCCTTTTATTTAGCAACAAAATACGAAGTTAAAACCTCTCTAATTGCCTCTGATAAAAAAAGGGCAGAATAATTTTAAAGACGCAAATTAAAATGTGATTCATTAGTCGTAAAACAGGAGGTTCGACGGCCGAATATACAATTTCCACCAAATCCACAAATGGAAGGATTATTAATGCTAACTCAATGTTATATGAAGCGGTTCGCATAATCAGATGGCGGTGTTGCTTTACAATTTTTTACGACTATACTAATAATCATTGTGTAGATGCCTAAAAATGAACATTTTTGGAAAACAACTAAGTTATCACGAGTGTGATGGGCGCAAACAAGGTTGGCTATGTAAAATGCGCCTTCATCTGATAAGGGAAACCTTAAGCTCGAGGAGACATGAAAGATCTCGGCTACCACGGGACAAAGGCGGCTTAAATTCAAAAGTAAAAATGTGCTGCAGTAGGTTGATGGCTGTCGTTTGGAAAGATGTTTTATGGTATCAAAGTAAAATTACCATATAACGTAGTCGTGAAATTCACTGATAATTTCACCAAGTAGGCATTCGCGACCCATCCAAATTCATCATGCACAGAGTACCAAACCAAAAAGTACAAGATTATACATACCTTTAAAAGGATATTGTTACAATTATTTTTTTAGCAGGAAAAGTGGCGCTTAAATTCAGCAAATATCATTTCATTGGCCAAAAATTAATAAAATTAAGTGCACGGCATTAGCATCTATGAGTACTTGCTATTTAATAACAGTAAAAGGCATTCAGATAACCAACGTTCGTTTGCAATATAAATTTTCCTAAAAGACGTAATGAAAACCTTCATTGTACTCCCTATATCCCTGCCACATCAGATATGTATTTTCAACACAAATTCAACAATGAAGTACCCTGAATAATCGCATTTGATTTCACGAAAACCTAACGTGTATTTATCGTAAACTAAAGGTGATATTCCTGTCAAAATTAAATTCATCAAGGAACGGATTTCAATAGATTAATTACATGGACTGAATCCACCAACTGAAATTACACACAGCACTACAACGAAGGGGGATTATTCCAGCTAACAGGGTGGCTCACGTCGTAGGTCCAGCCAACTCCATCAAATTCAACGAGCATTTTAACAAGAGAGGCACCCCGAAAATCTTCGGTCTCACTTTTGGTAGCGGATGCGCAGAGGAGTTTGAGGTCTAGACCGGAGGTGCTCAGAAGATCCTGATGTCGAATTCCGCGATAAACCTGAGACAACCATGTCTCTGAGACGTAGAGCATGAGACCCGTCCCGAGGATGGAGTCCAGAAACTCGGTCTGGATAAATATATATTTAGTAAAATATACCAATAAGGTCAACAGCAAAAATTCAAAAATTTTGCGGCAAATTTAAAAAGTTTCACCAGTGACCCACCTCAGACATTATCTCCACTCCGGCCTTGTTCCGGGTTGAATAGAAGCCGGCCTGAAGGAGGCGGTAGTTGAGTGTCAGAGCGCTGATAGTGGTAGCATAGATGGCGTCGGCGTTGAGAAGGGCACCGCTTACGTCGTGGATGTGCACGTCGTCCGCAAGATCGGCGACGTACATGGGACAAAGCACACTGTCCAACTCACTCAATCGCCGCTCTAGAAGAATACATTTGTCATTTTTATCAGTTTGAAAAGGGCAAAAAATGCAAAAGTGCCTCACCTTTACAATAAGCGGAACTGAACTCCAAAAGGAGGTTGTCGACTTCAATTATCGACTGCGCGTCCAGGAGATTGGGAATGGTCTTCATGAGAGACAGCAGGTAGTCATGAGCCGCCCATCGATCCACTTCCAATGTACGAGGTAGCTACAACAAAAGGGCAAATTTTAAGCCCCACCATTAGAACATGTACTTGCCCTTCAGTTTGCCATAGTTCACGAAAAGTAATTACAACATTATTCCCTCCCAACGAAACGCAGACTACTTTAAGAAATTGGATCGCTAGAATAAATTAAGCAAAAAATTCAGCAGTATCATTTTATAAATAGTGGTAGAACTGTTTTTCAAAATTTAGCCACAACAGTTGTGGTCATCACTCTAGCAAAACTCTAAGACGTAGTGTATTCGAAGCATTATAAATGTAATTTCTTCCCGCCTTGACAGAAAACTCACATTTGCATTGGGGATGTCAGTTCCCCTCAGCACTTCTTGACCACCCTTATCTTCAGTGGAAACTTCTAAACAAACAGCAAAAAATAAAAATGATTGCGTCTATATGTATGAAAAGGTCTTCTGAGGATCCAGGTGCTCACCTTCTATCTGTTTCAGCTGAAACCCAATCATTTGAACAAAGGCCTCACACAGACCCTCACATTCAATGAGAGTAGACAGGGAGCCCGAAATGGCGTTCACACATTTGGCACTGGTACAGACTAGAGCCTGATCCTTGGTCAGTGAACATGAGTGGACAGACTCGAGGATACTAAGATGAATTTAATAAAAAAATTAGGACTCCTCTTCCGCGTTTTCACAAATTGTATTTAAGCTAACCTTTGCAATTTCAACACCATGTCTTTTTCCGGTAAATATAATAATAGTTGAGACCGCTGCTACAAAATATTTGAAGGAACTGGCACATTTGCAGTAAATACTTTAGTTTTTTAGAGATTAAGATTTAATTCATCCACAAGACATGTTTTAAAAGATGTCAGTAATGCAATAGAATACAATCATGTCTTTAATCAAATGAAAACCTCAAATCATTGAGATGGCCCACGGTGATAGTCTGTGCCTACTTCAGGCTTATGATTCGATTTTTGGAACATGTTGCCGTTGTGTCTCACGAATTTCACCTCACGAAGCTAGAGACCGTTCATAAAAGTGAGGTCAATATTGGAACTTACGTGGCATAAGGTGACTATGAACGCCTGTTGAAAAAATCAGGCGAAAAGGGAAGATTATTGCTTTTTTTGCCCTGACCTACAGTGGATCAGTATGGAATCGAAATGTCGATTACATGGGACGATAATCCCAACTGCGATCTTGCTAATCGAACCAAAAGCGTTTCGGTCACGCCATTTACCTGGCTGCATGCTAAATCCCACCAAGAAAATAAGCAAAGTAGCTGTACATAGCTGACTTTTCATAAGCCCTGTGAGAACTAACATTAAGGAGTCGTAACTAACATGTCAAAGATCCGAAAATCCGCCATCTGTGGTTCGCTGCACCTAAATAAAGGTTCAGAATCCCCGTTGCTGTTTGAAAGCATGGGAACCGAAACAAGTGGGCCAGTAATGCAGAGGAGCCCCTCAGTTGTGCTCAAAAGCTGTAAAAAGGAAAATATACATAAGTGCAAGCCAGAAACTAAAAACATTTAGGTAAAAGCTTAAAACGTTATTAATAAATCCAATTAATTTGCTAAACATCTAGCATCAGGACCGATATTCTTCTATTTCCAAATGGGAAAAAACTAGCAAGCAAAGAAATCGCAACTTCAAGAGTCTCCGAGCGCTGTGAAAGCAAAAAACCCTTCAACTTTCTCACCCATATCTTCGGTACCGACGAACTTGAATAATTATGTCTAGTCAGCACATGATTCATCGTTACCATGTTCGAATGGATGCAGTGCTTAAGCCCCATAAATAGGTGATTTTGTAGAAAAATGTTCAATCCTAATCTATAAAATGTAAACAGACGTAAAATAGTACTAAAGTTAAAATACTGACAGGATAAAGGGAGAGAAGATCCCACCTGAACCCTAGTTAGATCAAGTTTCGCACGACTGATTTTGGCGTAAAATGGTACTTGTAGTAACAACCACCCGATGATGTCCAAATAAGCTTGACTACCACTTTCAACCGCTGCTTCCACCGCTTTCTCGGATACAAAGCAGTAATGTCAAAACATTTTGATACAAATCATATACATCCACGCATAATAAAAGAGAGCACAGCAACTCACACCGCACACGGCGTTGAGAGCATTCTGACGGTAAGTTGGTGGTGGATAGAGGAGCATCTTATGAAAAAGCGATTCCAGCATAGGTCGGAGTTCAAGAACAGGCCCCACCAAGTAAGCGAGATCAATTACAATGCTGTTAAAGCAGAGAAATGCACATCAAATGGATGTACTTTATCAAATAGCGATTAGTATTCTTAACTTTTTGTTGCATAAAATACACAGATTTTAGTAAATGGCAAAATATAGACAAGCAGCGAGTGATTTTTCAACTGAAGCAGACGCTAACATAGAATATCAGCCGCCAATTTGCGCCAGGGAGCGGAAGTGAAAGGATTGACTAGACGTACTCATAAATGAGTTTCAACACTTCGGGCCACAGAGTTGGGGGCGCTATGGAGCTGGCTGTTCCGTGGGTCTTACGATCGACTCCACTTTCTGCCAGCGGCTGCAGAACCGATGTTGAAGTGATGTTCCTTTCTTGTTTAGGATTACTCAAAAACCACATAAGCATAGGGCACATTCGTTGCCTTAAACACAAAAATCGCTTGAATACACATTGCTCGAAATGTTATGTGAAAATCGATGAATAACATACCAGAGGATATTTAAAAACACCCTGTGCCTAATCAAGGAAACAGGAAGGAGAGATATGATAGTGGCAATTGCCTGTATGTACATAGGTATTGTTATTCTATTTTGCGCAGGCGTATTATCAGGCATAGCTGCTTCAATTAGGCACTTGAGAACGCCCAAAATCTGTAGCTGTGGTTCGGACAGATCAGATGCATAGGAGTTTTCACCACAAAGAAAAGTGTAGGCAGACTTCGGCGTGGTCACAGGATTTGGTTCAGCAGTCTGTTAAAAAGTTTAAAAAACCAAAATCTTAGGTTAATAAAATTCCAAACCAATTAATCTGAAGAATGGATCCAAAAGTCTACGAACCAGACCATCGACTGGCAAACTGTTTTTTGCCACAAATGCCTTGACTGTCTGAACCAGGGTTGCGTAAGCAATGGATGCTTTTTCCTTGTTTCGAGCCAAAACATACTTAGAATTTAAGTCCGTGCATATCTGAAAGAAAAACATGACTTTATAAAAAATATGCTGCTTTTACGTGGACGTTAACTAAATTTCAGTTGTTACTTTGATTGTAAATGAATAAAGACAATGAATCAGCAAAAAGCAAAACATAACATTCCGGAACAAATTTACCGTGATCTGTAAGCTAACCAGGCAAGGCATAAAACAAGATGAGTAACAGTCCCATTACATTTAGCGGTTGAAAAAGAAATTATGTAAGTGGATTGCTCTAGACATCTGAGTTGGGTGAACTTCAAACTAAAATCATGACAACTAAATTACCCAGCCGTTGCTTCGAAAATATTGCCGTAAGTACTTCAAATGCACTAAAATATAGGCAATTTAAATGCTTATCCACCGCATGGGAGGCGCATAAATACCCAAAAAAGGATGAAATCAAGAATGGGAAACGGGCTTTATACCAAATGATCGAAGCATACCTGAACAATCCTCAACATGGAATTTACGGTTAAGCGGCTATTTTTCGAAAGACACAATTTCGACAAAAGCTATGCATAGAAATATGACTGGAAAAATATGGCATACCTTAAGAAAGGAGGCCTGAGTAGCATCACTGAAAATCGTACAGGGAGAAATAGTATCAAGAAACTGGGAAGTCAAGTCCGTGTCTCTAACTGGGCCCTCTAATCCATCATAGAGAAAGTCAGAATCGACAAATGCCTATACCATTATTCAAAAAGCCTATTGTACCTCAAGTGCCGACAAAGCATCACAGTTCAATCTACTGTTAGATGATTCCAAAGACACCTGTATTGGTGCTAGAATTATTTCACGCAATCTGCACTTGGGGAGCCGATGAAAAATACTCTCATCATTCAGAGCACCTATGAATAAACTTAAAATAAAATAACGAACTGAGGGCTTCATCTGTTAGTAGTAGCAAAAATTGCCATTTTTCCGACATACCATCCCTTCTAATAAGCTCAAGTGCAGATTTAAGAGGAGACATTTTACATCCTAGGACGCACTGAACAAATAACGAAATAATATCACTGCTCGAGCCCTAAACGTTTGATTGGATCAGCTCATTTGTATGAAGTCCAACATTACCAAGTCTGTTTTGAGATTAATTTCAAATATAGTATTAATCTTCGCATTTCTTAAAAAGCGTATTACACCCATATAATTTGTAAAATAAAATTTTCAGTGATTTATTTGGAACTAACAGGGAACGCATCATGTAGAATGTGAATTAATTTGACAAAAGTTACCGTGTAAAGAAGATTTTTCCTAAAGGCTTGCAACCAACCTAAAAATGGGTAACTTCAAATGCGCCAATATTTTGTTGGATTAAAAAAATTTTGATCAAAAAGAATATTCTTTACTTGCCCAGTAGGAACGTGCTCTAAAATCAACTGATGTTTTTTCTTATGCTTTGATATTTAGGCTGTTTACTTTCCTGATTTGCACTTATGTGTTTTTTCCAAACGTTGCGTGTTTGTAACTGCGATCAACATTTCAGTTGATGGCGTCGGGTGCGTCGGATTCGTCATTAGATGACACAAGTATTGATGATGCATGGGAAACGGAGCTTGAAATAGCTCTTTTGAGTAAGACATTTTTATTTGGTAACTGCGTTTGTGGTGGCTGATAAGGCTTACGTTAAATAGGGAACCATAAATCAACCTGAATTATTGCATGTGGGCAGATATATTGGTGTCTTGATAGGTGTCTTGCAATCCTTATGTTGACATTTCCAAGCATTGAGCATTTGCTATTAATTCTGCTTTTGCTTTTTTTGAGGTATTCTTTCGCATTAAGTGGGGATTGGGTGGGACGTAATTTTCACCCTTATAATCCATCGTATTTAACAATTCGTCTAGAAGATGCTGATTTCGCAGACATTAAGTCCATCTGCCAAATTCGTCCCGTTCCTGCTAGACTGCGTCGCGACCTGTGGCGTTCATGCCTGGGTGTGAACCCTAGCCTCATAGGGATGTCTAACTTTGCGGAAATCTTTGATCTTCCAACTCAAGAGCAACTTCACATGGCGTGTGAAAATGCAGCATCTGACGTTATTGCTTCTCTTTCAAGGACAATGTCGTCTGATTTGGGTATTCTTAAAGATCCTCCAAATGTGCTGCAGCTCACTAGTGATTTCGAATCTGTGCTCACTCATTTTTCTCAAACTTACACTCTTCCATTCATCCCGGGCAATGGGTGGGTTTCTATTCTCTCCACTCTCTATATTGTTCTTTACCCTATCGATCGAGAGGACCTCTACGTCTATTTCACGTCTGTGTACCATCGCTTTATACCCAGCGGAACACAGGGTAGCTCGCATGCCTGCAGTGTTTTTCGCCTCTTGCTGCAATATCACGAGCCTGAGTTATGCAATTTCCTAGACTCGCACAAACTTCCTCCGGAAGTCTACGCCAAGGCGTGGTTTGACAGCTTGTTCGCGGACCATCTATCTAACGAGGCTCTGCCGGCCTTTTGGGACATATATTTCCTTCTTGGGGAACCACTTTTTGGTATGCTGGTCGCACTAGTGCTCCTCGTCAATGCTAAAGATATATTAATGCAAAAAGAAAAGGAAATTGGTCAAGAGGCGGTAGAAGAAACCTTATCTTTGAATGATAACGAAGATGTGGAAATGGATGAGCAAGGGACAGTGACTATTCCTCCAAAATCAAGGGGTTTGTTTCATACTTTCTTAATCAACCCTTAAAGTTAGGAATGGGTGTTGACTCTCATAATATTCTGTTGTATTTTTGTCCATTAAAACCTCCGCATTATGAAGTGAGTAGCCACATTGACAAGTTCAACTTTAATGTATGCTGATAATTATGAAGTATATTTAGCCAGATTATTTATTTTAGTGCGAGAACAACTGTGAGTTCCATACTTTTCGGGTTTCATAAGTCATGAGCTAGGTCAAAAAAACTACCGCGACACGACTTATGCGCTCATATCCGTTTGTTTTAAGACGAAATCCTGGTTGAATTGCGGAATCTGCCGAAGCCCATGCGCCCGTCGGATCTGGTGGCGTTAGTGGAAATAACTCAGGTGTATAGTCTTAAAACCCCCTCCTCATTTAACACTACCTACCTCCCCTTCCTCTTTGGAGCACCTAGCCCTGAAACCGATAGTCATCTTTTGAGCGGAGCGCTCTCGCTATTGATTTCGGTGGAGGAGGTGCTGGGCGCTCAGACCCCTTGCCGCCGCCGCCAGTCGCCCCCGCACTTGGAGACGGGAATGGGGATAGAGGCGGAAGAGGGGGAAGGAGGGGAGGCAGTTCGCTTTTTTCTCGTCGACTGTCGACCCGCTGAGCAGTACAATGCCGGTCATCTGGACACTGCCTTCTACCTTGACACTGAACTCATGCTCTCCAATCCGCCCGAGTTCAATATCAGTGTACAGGTGGGTCGCTTTAGCTCTTTTCCTTGGGCATATGATTTCCCTTGTTGTTGTGGTAAAATAGAAGTGGAAATCGCTGTTAAACCGTAGTTCTCCTCTTTCCATTTCTTCCTTTAACATTTTCTCGTCACTCCGTCCACTTTAACCACTTCCTATCATCGTCGTTATACTGTGTCTCGAATTCTTCTGATTTCTTGAAAATTATTTTTTGAATATGCTATTTGACCTATTCTGTGTAGCGCCTTTTGCGGCATCTTTGATTATTTCGTGTTAGCATACAGGCCTACAGTTGACCCTGCTGTTCTACCGAAAGCTTCGTGTTTGCTTACCCCGTGATAACGTTTGAAATCTACTTCCAGTGTCAGTGGGAAATGTGTCGAAATAGAAATAATTCGCCTTGGAGCGGACTAAGTGTGTAAATGAGCATGGTTGCCAAACTCTTATACTCTTTACTCATAATATCCATGCAGTTGGACATCTCTTTATGCTAGCACTTTGTCCATTAACATCGTGAATACACCACTGACCAGCATTAGAACCCTGAATTGAACTAATCGTAGCAGATTTGGTGTTTTGCTTGCCCCTTTAGGCCTTGCTGCAGACTCAACAGCGAGGGATTGCTTCGAGATCGAGGGCTGTGGGTGAACACATTGTTTTTATGGGCAGTGGTCGGTTGGCAGAGGATCGCCTGACTAATATGGTAATCGCGTACTTTTTACGCCTGAACACACCTTACGTGAGCATGGTAGACGGTGGCTACGCGGCATTCCACGAGGCCCTTGGACCTCTCGAATTCAACCGCCTTCTGGTATCGCACGAGGAGGACCTTTGCTTTGTCTGCGCTGCCAATCGGGGCCAACAGGCAATTCGCATGGCGCATAAAATGCCTCCATCCGCCGTTCCTGCCGCTTCCAAGTTCTCTAGCAATTCCCTTAGCTCCAAAACTCCTCATGTTGCGTCCACCTTCCAACCTGCACAGTCATTTGGTAATGTCTTGACAAAGTTTTCCAACCTGCTTAAAAAATCACCGGTTGGAGCTTTCAGAACTCCCCAAATAGTTCCCTCTGCCGCCTCTGTTCCTGCAATCAAACCAGCCTCATATCGCAACACTGCGGCTGTCTTTAGCATCGGTGACGACGACGATGAGGACGATGATGATGAGATTCCAGAGTTTTCTCTACAAACGCATCCCCATGCACTTATCAAGTCCCAGTCAACTGTGGTCACAAGCCTGGAAGTTTGCACGCCGCGGCAGTTAATTGATCTGGAGGGCTGTCGAAGAATGCCCGGTGTGACTAACAGTTTTGACTGTGTGCTTTTGGGACGTGGTGAAACGCCATCCTATCGTGGTATTATTCTCGTGACGGAGAAGCACATGATAGTGGTAAGAGAGCGCGATAAACCCCTGTTGGAGACATTGGGCAATTTCGTTCAAAAGACCTTTCTCAGAAAAGCGACAGCCTCCTCTAAGGCTGCCTCGTCTGCTGAAACCGAGCGCTCTGTCAATGGAGTTGTTGAGGTTTCGTTTCCTATAGGCCAGCTGACGAAAATAACGTCGAAAAAGATTACCCCTGAAGTCATTACATTCCACTGCATCTCCGACCCGGTTTTGGGGACTCGGGAGTTTATTCGTCTGTACATCCCCAAGGCGGGCGATGCTGTCAAGGTCATTAAGACCGCTGTTTTCAATAACAGTAGAATAAGCTAACACACCCTTTGGATTTCCTTCAATCTGTGATTTTTCATATATCTCCTTTTGCTTGTGATATTTTCTGACTGTGCAGAGTGCGCCGCCCACCCCCTACCCATTATTACTCCACTCATGCGTGTACACATGCCCTCGGCATCATTTAAACTGATCTAATCATTGAAAAGAAATTTCTTCCGTAAAACAGTTTCCTGTGTTACGTATTCTTTGTTCTTGGTCTCATTCATACCTTATTGGATAACCCTTATGCAGTGATGGTTAGTGGAGCGCGTCCGTCCAGTCACCCCCAGGTGGATAAACGCAGCGATACCTCTTTTCAGCCGGCATTTTAACGTGGCTTCGATTAGGAAATTCCAGCATCAATGGTCGTCGATACTGCCCTTACTGTTAGTTGCTCGTAACCAAAAATCCTGTTTAGGGTGTAATTCTCGATTGGGTTAAGAGTCATGGTGTCACAGGCATCCCAAGTTTGCATACCAATTTTTGGGACTTGTAGACCTGATCGGATGTTGAGCTAAACTACGGGACACGGGTGTAAGTTGCTGCAGATCATAGCCCAAGAGTTGACAGGCTTGGCTCAACTTTTGGAAAAATGAACTGTTGTTCGCCCATGCATTCATTTTGTTTTTTGCTAGATTGAACAATTTTGTCCTGTCACCTTCCTCAAAGCAGACAGCTTTCCGGTGAAATCCAATCTTTGGTTGCCTTTATCAGCGGACCATTTCAATTTCAGAAGTGAGATATTGGACTGTAAGATGAACGAGTAAAACCAACCCAAAATAAAGCTTAGCTCGTGCTGTATTCTAACAAAGTAAATTCAGTCCTCTAAGTCTGCCGAATTATTCTTGATCCGAGATAACAAAATAGCTTACATTAGTCCAGTTGCCAAAGACAAAACAGTGGTCGACTGAAAGTAGGGATTCACAAATAACACCACAAGTGAAAAGAGTGGCTGGACGAGGATGGAAAGGAAAGGAGGTGGACATATGAAAGGCAGGCTAGATGACGTCTACCCCGCCGCTTTCGAGGGGCGCATTGGCAAGGAGGGTGCCGAGGGGACGCGTAAAGAGTGGTTTTTGACTTTCTTCGCGAGCACGTAGATGTAATCGCAACAGAGTGTGCTCCAACACTCCTGTGCGTATTTCCATAGCAACATTCTCGGCCTTGAGACGCTGGATAGCCTGCTTGATGTGCACTACTGGTGAGCCATCGGTCATGCTGGAGCCGCGCTGTTCCATTTCCTGCTTCACCCGCTCCACCTCCTCCGACAGTTGTGCCAGCGCTTTGCTTCGCTCCGCTATGTTCCCGCTCGCTTGCGTGTATGCCTCCTTCACCTCACTTAGTCGGTCCTCAGTGATGGAAAATAAAAAACATGGGCTTTCTAACATTGACTTTCAACCTTTTCTGACAACTATACCTTTCTGGAGCCACATCAACTCCTAACTTTCTGTTCACTATTCTACTCAAAACTGTAAGATATTTTTGATACTGTCTCGAATGTTCTATCGCATAGCACTGAGGAAAAAAGAACCGTTCACAAATAAATTTGGTTTCAATATTTCCTCATAACCTTACAATTTTAAATCGGCTTGTTTGTGATAAACTCATTATTTTCTATTGCATCTTAATAGACATTCAATCAGATCCATTAAAACGTTACGCTAGATAATTGTATCACCAAAAGGGATGTATTTTAGTCCGTCAGTATTATCAATAGTTTAGAAATATAGCCTATCTTTACCATTGGATATAACTCTGATGTCGCAAGCGATCTCAACATGTAATCATCTGTCAGGAGAGTCACGATCAAATATAATGCATTATTTAGTAACGGCGTTACTGTTTGAAACCTAAAACTACGCCAAAACTGAAAGTATCTGAAAGCGTTGCTCCAACAAGATTATAAATTATTCTTGACAGTTTCGAATGGCTGACTTACACTGATGGGACTCCCACTTTAAACTTAGTATTAGTCAGTGTGCGACTCTTAGAGAACTCACATCTACATGTGGCTATTCACATGGAGAAATTTTTCAAAATCTGATCAGTTGGATTGATTTACAGTATGTGGTGTATAGCTATTGTATCACGAATGATGGCAAGGCCTTGCAAATAACTTACTTGAACACACCTATACTCCGTGAGGACACGATCAATTTGGCTGTTGATGTACTTCTCCCTGCTACTAATTTTGTCCAACCCGCGCGAGAGGTCCTCCTGCAGGGTTTTTAGGTGCCCACGGGATTCAGTGAAGCAGACGTTGATGGAACGGCTGTGATGGTCGATTTGATCAAGACGACTACGCCAATCCCTCGCCTCCGCATACGTCGCCAAGCGCAACTGCGGTAGCACGCGCTCCACTTCCATCTGCCAGTCGCCCCTCTCTACTGATGCCATTGTTTCAACGGCCAACTCGGAGGCTTGCTGGCTGTGCGGATGCCGAGCCACTGCTTCCGTCAGTAGGCCTCCGAAAGGACCGTGGGAGTCGATGAAGGACGGTTCCTCGTCCAGAGAAATATCGTTCTGAACTGTGTCTGGAACCGCCTGCGACTTGCTCATGCCTACAGTACCGTAAGAGGAAGTAAGCATTTGTGATACCTACCACGACAACACCCTGCCAGTAAGCCAAATTCGATTACAAAATAGTGTTTCCACTATAGGGTTAACATTACTTTGGATGCGCAAGTCTTATGACACTAAAAGCACTAAATAAAATAAATTACGACAAGGTTCTGGAAAATATACATTTATTTTATTTATACGATAGAAACATTCTTAAATCTAGCCTATTTCTAACCTCCATATGGCCTTTTGAGCATTCAAACTCGTCTAGACTGCAGCGACTATGCACAAAATCACTTTAAGTACTACTAATATTTTAACTGCATTTTAACCTTACACTCTAGATTTACAGCTACCAAGTCATTTTCATCATCATCGGAGTCCGCATCCACCTCCGAATCACAAATAATGCCGGATCGCAATTCTGACGTAACGCCATCTACGCAGACCTTGTTTCCTGTCCATTCCACCAAATCACCTTCCTCTGAGGCCGAGGCTGTTGTATCCTCGATTACAGAAGTGATACTTTCCGCCTCTATCTTCTCATCCAGCAGCGGCGGTTCAAAAGAAATGTATTTTTGCTTTATAGCTGTGTCGGCCAATAGATCAAGTACATGTATACAATATTCCCCGCAGCCAGATTTTAGCTTCGAGGGCGGAAACTCAGGTGCCTGGCCTACTAATGATCGAAGAGAATCGAGGACGGTTGCGATTGTAGCATTGGGATCATCATATTCCTGTGGCATTTCCATTGCTAATCCTGCTTCATTGATAAGCCATGCAGCCAGCCCAACGAAAGTGTTGAATTGTTCGCCTGGATTTGTAGGAACAACGAAATAAAGCTTTGAAAGTCCTTTGATTCTGTTACGATAACAGTAGCGCTGCTCATAATCCAAAAGTTTTAGTTTTTCTGAGAGACTCTCCATCATTTGAAAGGGAAGAAAGAGTGATTGTGTTGGATTAGTATGGGTTGCAGCGGAAGTGACGGCCACTTGGGTCATTTCATCGTGTTCATCTGATTCTAATTTACCTCCTTCCATTCTAGGGAAATCGAGTGCAGACATTCACCCTATATTATGGTTATTAAAAACGGTGTAAAAAGCGTAGATAGGTATTGCCATTCAAAAGACTGTAAAAGCGGTAAAAGGCTTTCAGTAGGCATACAGATCAAATGAGGCTTCATCACATTAATTGGGTACCCGCTGATAAATTGTTGAGATTAAACATTTCCACACATAATACACAGATGATAGAAGGGCAAAGTTACTTATGCAGGTATTCAAGCCAAAATACAATACTTCCCAGTTGCAGGGCAATAGATTCCGGCCAGAGTTTTTAAAGCTAATTTGCTCTTACTGTTTGGTAAGGACTCCTACTAACAACATAAAGACCAGGTTCAATAAAACACTACCCCACAAAAAGAGGTCCGGTACAAAAAAAATAGTCTAACTTTACTGAAAAACCAAATTGCAAACTATTGGGGATCATTTAAGCACTTCCCCACAGCCGTCGATGCAAGAGAACTCCAGATGTTATTGAAATCATAATACGTCTACTTAGTAGGATTACTTAACAACAGGAATGCCAGCAATCAAAATGCGAAGGTGTTTCCTATGACGTGTAAAACTAATCCGGAAAAGCTTGATGTGTTTAATTGCAGTACAAGAGGCTGACGAAAAAACAAGATACATGATAGGTTATTGTGCAGATCAAAATAGCATTTTTCCATAACTAAGACATCAAACAGATTAAACAATCTTATTGCAAATTTTTTCTTTTATTAATTTTTTTCTCAAAAAAATTTTGCATTTTACTATTTTTTGGTTTTTGTTTAATTATTAACAAACACTTATTTATCGAAATTCTACAACAAAAGCTTTATATAAAATAATATGCTAAAAATTCTCAAAAGTTTACTTGTTTGTTTTAGTGCTAGAGATATACAATTAGTGCAGAACTGACTCTAATTGTGCGTGCGTTGGTAAGCCATGTGCCGGCCTGTGACTTTGAGTATCGAAGAATGAAAACCCTTTAGTTTATAAGGGATTTTTTGCTTTGCATCCCGCTCTCTTTTATCTTACGCTTATAGGACCAGCTTTCGCTTTCATGGTTTTGTCATTTTAATAATGCATGTCTAGTCTGTCCTGTTGAATTTCAAGCGTTGAAATGGCCTTCGCCGCTATTTTCGATGTCGTTAAAAAGAATTTGGAAGGATCTCTTCCTGCAAATAAGCACCCAATATTATCTTTGGCAAAAACGGATCAAGAGAAACGGGCCAAATTAGAAGCAGAAGATATTTCTGACCAAGAGGACTCATGTCATCCTTCGTGGAATAAATCAGAGCGTGCGGCTTGGCTTCGACATGTAAGGACTTATTATAAGTAATTTCCTAAAGTGTTATAAAAAACCCATTGCTGCTGCAGGTTTGCGCAGGCTGTCTGATAATGGCCGCCCCCCAATACAAGTATCTAAAGCCAGTAGTGCCGAAATCGAATGCGAGAGGGCACGTGAGCGGCGCTTGAAACGGCATGCTACTCAGGGTGTTGTCGCGCTTTTCAATGCTGTGAGACAACACCAGTCCGTTTTGGAGAAGCAGTTGGACGCAACTGGACCCTTGGTCTTTCAGAAGGAGAAAGTCGTTACAGGTTTTACTACATCTGACTTCCTTGACCGCCTTTCTGCCGGCCTTCCCGGAGCGAAAGCAAAGTCATCTGAAGGGGTCGTCTCTGATGTCCATTGTGCTCCGAAGAAGAGCAAACCCAACTCGCCCACTGTAGGTTGTGTTTGTCAAATTTCTTTTTAAAGCTTTCTATTTGTTCTTTGCGGTGCTCGATTTTGTTTTAGAACACCGCGCCCACCATTAAAGTCCAGAGAGGATGAGACAAACCAGCGTTCTGTTACCGGGGAAATTTGTACACATTGCTTCGAATACACGCCCTCAGTTTGCACCTTCTCTTCTCTTAAGGGTTTCTCGAACTATTGGCTACTCACGTGCGTTTTTTGTTTCAGATCAAGTACTTATGAACTTTTCGAGTAAAGACTCTATGTAAGTTGTGCTAGGCCGTCTTACTAAGGCATTTGAAAATTTGTAATTTTAGCTTAACACCAGTTAACCTCATTTACTATGTCATTCCGCAAGATTTCTAGTTTATTTGATTCTAGTGTATCTCGTACAATTGCATAGTTGGGCTGGTAATTTTGTTTTAGCTTCGAGTGCACAAGCATATCAGCTGCAGATTTCACGTTGTCTTGCTATGATGAAAGAGATTCCGCCCCAAAACTGAGTGTAAATTCAGTTGACGAGGAAGAAAATGAGCAGTCGAATTTAGAGGAGAACGCCCGCTCAGTCAGGTTAACGGATATGCCAGAGTTGACTGGTAGCTCGGACCGATCCTTAACAGTTCTGAAGGCGTGCGTGCGCCACGACATTATGGAGCAGATATCCCTCGTCATATCTGAACTTGTTGCTATTGACTTGAAATACTCCGAATTGGCTCAAATAAGTGCATCACAGGGCAAGGAGAGAATGGAGATATCCATACGGGATCCCATCCCGGGCAATGATGACCAGAAAAGAACGCCACTAGAAAGTCTGCACGCCTATACAATAGCCGAGCTCCACTCCCAGCTAAGCTCGCTGAGGGTCTTCATTCAAGATCTGGACGCCAAGTACCTCGAAGTAGCAAGATGCGTGCGAGAGCGGATTGAAAAGCTGGAGCAGTGCAAAACTGAGCTTTCCTCCGAAGTTGAACACTTGCGAAGATTTTATTAGATCATTTTATAGATTTTGCCGTAGCCACCGAAACATATTCCCTATTCAAGGGCTGTTGTAGTCGTTTGCATGCAAGGGGATAATAGATGCAACTAGAGATCCTTATGTGCAGCGTCCTTTTCATTGTCAGTGTCGTTTGAGGGGGGCTGTTGTCTGGTCATGTTTTGCATCTGCTGTCGAAGTGTGTCCACCAGATCAGGATTGGTCTGCCGCATCTGTTGAGCGAACTGCTGTCCACTGAAATCACGAGAAGCTAGGATTATCAAAAAGCAAACACCAACTTGGCGGATAATTCCGTGCAATAATCCATTCTAGAAAAAAATATTCTCATCTACCAAAATAGTTAAAAGCTCTACAGAAGGTGTTGGATGCATCCTTTGGACTCAGGAAGCATACTACTTAGTGAGAATGAAAAGGCGATTGCTGCACTGTTAGCATGGTACTGTAACGTATGGCAGTGTAGGATAACAAGCAAAGAATTCGCATACTATCGAAGCAGATTATCTATATTCGGGCCTCCTGACGGTACCCCTGTTCCCTCCGCGGATCCAGTACCACCGCTGAAAATGCCTTGCATCATTGAAGAAACGCTTAAAATAAGAGAAATTGGTTTTGATTTCATGGGCCGAGTCGACCGTGCGATTCCATCAATAGAAATGCTCAACTAATGGGAAGATATAAGCCGATCCATGCAGTTTTCCATAAGTAGTATTTATGGCATCTCGCCAAGACCGTGCGAATTTATGAAGCTCATGCTCTTATAATTTGCATTATGCAGATGAGGAGCTGGCTGACTTACGTGGATTGCATTTGAGGGTCGGACATTAGTTGCTGTGCCATATTCTGCATCATTGGGTTGCTAAGGAGAGCACCAAGGTCTAAACCACCAAAATTGTTGGGAGAAGCATTTGAAGAATGCGACGAAGACTCCTTTAGATTTGCCTCAGCTAGGGCCAAGCTTTGCTTAAAGTTCAAGTTATTCGGGTCCAGCGAGATCGCCTTCTTGTAGGCCTCGATGGCTTTCTCGTATTTAGCCATATTACAGTAAGCGAGACTGAAAGCAAGTGGGAGTTCCACAATGTTATTCGTTTAAAAAATAATTAGTAAAAAGAGTAGGACTAACCCCATGCGTCCATAAGCCTTGCTGTAGGTAGGGTCGATTTCTAATGCCTTCTCGCAATCCGCGATACAGTCACTATCTTTGTTCAGACGACTTTTGGCGGCAGCTCTAAAGAATGCAAAAGGAATAAAAGAACAACTGATAATAAATTAAGGTGGCATTAAGTTATTAACGGAACCTGTTGCAGTAGTAAATCGCATTGTTAGGATCCAGAGAGATGGCTTTGCTGTAACAATCAATGGCCTCATCAAATTTCTCCGAAACCATAAATGAATTGCCTTGTGTCTTCAGGCTCTCAGCCTTGATCTTGTCTTCAAGTGTCACCTGACGAGCATTTGGCTTTGAGGCCTACAAATGAAACAGTGGATTATAAATCTCTACTTACGGAGGTGGCTCTCGCAAACAACATGAGTAGATCTGTATCTGTGTCTAAATTGTCAGACACATCAAAAGCACTTTCGATGCACTGTTTGGCAACTACATGAGAGATTACGGTAAACAAGACCACATTAAATATACCTTCCAGGCTTTCGATAGTGTCACTGGAGTATTCATTAGACGAGCATTCATTCCTAAGGAATGCTGCAATGCACTGATAGAGCTTGCGCTTTGTCTCTGATATCATCTAAAACGTAAATTCACTATTTGAATAATAGGAGCTTGGAAAAGTTCCAGAAAGGCAAGACACATCAAGAAGACCAAGAAACAGCCCCCCCCCCCCCCAAAAAAAAACGAAACCTTAAAACAGATAAGGGCAAGCCAACAAAAAACAAGCAATAACCAAAAAGAGCTAAAGAAAATGACTATGACAACGCGATAAAATAATGGAATCCAAAAAAACGTGAATAGAAACCGCCTTCAACAAACTCCACTATCCACGAAAGTCCGATGATAACTAAATTCTGAAAAAATTGTCGGGATTTGAAGATTAGATAGTTACGAAAAGTATAAACTCGGGAAAATAACTATAATTATCATAACATCAAAAAACCGAGTCGATATGTAGATGACCACGTGGGTTATTATAATTGGAGTGAGGCAAAAGAGCCTGGCTTTTACAAATGACCATCGTGACAGTTGTGGCCGAAAATAGAATTTCAATTTTGTCTATCCGTCAAAAGACCAAACTAATTTTACTCTTTACCGCTAAATTTTTCTAACTTGTGAATTTACAAACAAAAGGCGAAAGGGGATACAATTTACCCAAATAAGTGTATTTAGGCTTTATTCAAATAAATTCATCACAAAATATTTGTGTTTGCAAAAAAATTATAATAAATATATTTGTATGTATAAATTGACATGATAGATCAATCCCGGAAATTTTCTAGGTTGATAAATACCGGATCATATAAAAGGCGCGGAGAATTAGAACAATTCGAAAATTTGAGGTCCACTTACGAAGAAACCCGTTGCATTCTATAATTTTACGTATAAATTTTTCATTTTTTACGGTAACTTTGTTCTTTCGTTACGTTTATAGTAAATAATAGACCAAATTTCCCTGGAACTTTTTGAGAGCATATGAGATATGAGCGAATTAAATCTGCTAAGGTTTTAATTTGGATATGGCTGAGAAAAAGATTCTTGATAAACAGAAACGTGAACATCAAAATTACGATTCCATTTTACTGCTTAATAAAAATGGAACGCTCGACCCGACTAAACCATCTTTCAGGAATAATTCTTTGCGATATCGGGGTTTTCTACGTCTGAACAGGAAAAAAGTCTCCAGGATAGGTGGTTGTATGCTAAATTTTATGTAGCAGTTCTCCTAATCATTTACTTCTTGTGCATTTATGCGATCCTCTTCGGTATAATGACAGGCCTTCTCATTATTGTGCTGCAGCTTTTTATTAGTGAGGATAAACCCTATCTAACTGGTCTACAAAGCCCTCTGAATCTTGCTCCAGGTAGGTTAAGTTACCTAAGTCCTGATTAAAGGATTTTATTTTTGTCAACTGAATCTAACCAGTTCTTTACTTTGTCCATTTTTATGGGCGATAAGTTGCACTTGTGATAGTTTTTGAAGCTGTAGTCTGTATTTACTCTTAGTATTTAGTAGCAATGGTGTTTTAATTTTTTAACATTATCTTTACCTTAAACTCAAAATAATCATTTTAGGCCTGAGTCATCGCCCTAATATTAATTTTATGACGTCACTTATTGCCTATGAGTCCTCGAACCCTCAGTCCTACATGCCCTACGTCCAGAACCTTCGAACATTTTTTTCTCTCTATGAAGAGGTTAACATTAAACCTCAAGATGGCTTTGCTACGTGCGAAAATGGCGTAAAAACACCGAATATTCCTAGATTAGTGTGCAAGTTTTATCCTATTCTTCTTGAGTCTTGCGTGAAGGAGAATAATTTCGGCTACGATAGAAGTGAGCCCTGCGTTGTAATAAAAATTAACAAAGTAAGTTTAAAACTATAATTGTTTGTCAGTAATTTGATTATTTACAAAAAGTCTTTGAAGGATTCGGCACTTAAATATGGGTGTATGGGGTTGACCACTTCTTTGTGCCGAAGTCGATTGAGGGATCTGCCAGTTTGTTCTAAGTCATCTGGTGAAATCGTTCGAACAATAAATGCTTGATTGTTGCATAGTTAACGCATTTATTAAGTGGATTTTTTGAATGTTTTATTAATTCTGACTAACAGGAGTCAAAACATCCCAAGAAAATTTTTTGGCAGTTTCTAAGACGTACTAAATTGTTCGGCTCACACAGTCTGCCTATAGAAATTTCACATTCGTTATGTGGCATTTACATTTAAAATCTACTAGTTATGCAACAGTTGTAGGATATGAGTTTTGGTGGTACAATAATAGGTTCTGATACTATGTGTTTGCATACATATATACTCCGACATTTGTCAATAAGTTCTTGTTTTATGTTTTATCAAACAGGCCAAAAGTTAAGCAATCCATCTCGAATCCGCTGGGAAATCAACTTTTACCAGTACTTGGGCTTTAAATTCGAAGTCATTTTAGTCAGGTGAATTTATCAATTATACAATTTTTTAGGTTTACGGATGGCTGCCCGACATCCAAAACACGTCGATGAGCCAAAGTCCTTTGCTTCGATGTTTTGGAAGAGTAAGTACGATTTACTAAGCTATTGCAGGTCAGATATTCCCACATGGAATTTAGTTTCAATCACTCTTAATATCACTCAGGCCTGTGCTTTCGAAAAGTGAATTTCTTAACGACTGGCAGTTATTTATCACGCTTTTTGAAATTTTTTCGCTAGCTACTTATTATTATTTCCAAGTTTGAGTGTTCTCTTCTCAAACTCCATGTAAAACCTAGTGCTAATAGAATGCACTATTTGCTATACATAAAACGGGTGTATCGCCTATTTGCCCTTCGATTTCCCACTGCATTTTCCCCAGCAGAGCTTGTTCCCTTGCTTTAAAAAATCGTCAGTTTAATTAAAGAGGCTCATTTATTTCAGTATGAGTCGAACTTCGAAGTTTTTGGCTCCTTACATTACTATCCCAACGTGACAATTGACGGCATTGTATAGTAAGTTCCCCTTACTGTTTCAGCGCAGTCTCCTTAATTGCTTCTTCTTCTGCTAAGCTGAGCTCTTCGGTATCTATTTTAGTGGGATTTTTGACAGCGTCTATTTCCCCTACATCATCCAATACGCTTACCGATCACCAGTCGTGGCCGTTCAGGTCAAAAATGTGCAACGAAACGGTCTATTCTTTTTGACCTGTCGCCTTTTCAACCTTAACACACCCACAGAACCTCTCAACTTTGAATTCCTCATCGACTAAACCCCGAATTATTTCTCTAACACTCAACCATGCCTCCTTTTTGTCCCGTGGGATGGTTATTTGTACGAACTGTTTACTATCGCGTTTTGTCGTGCGAACGGTAGATTCGAGAATTCCGGCAATGAATGGTTTGCCATTTGAGAGTCACAGCTTAGACGACCTACTTCACTATGAATTCTGGCTGTCAATCCTCTAGTGACTGGCATTCTTGCATCTAGGACCCGGCTTGGATTTGATATTCTTGCTGGGGATTGTTGTTATTTTTATTACACTTGTCCCTCTCCTGATGCATTTATCACCATGGCGAAGTCAGAATGTCTTGCCATTCCTAACTAGAATGGAAGAAACTCTAGGTTCACTCAATAAAACTGCAGTGAAACAACAAACAGCTAATTTTGAACTAGTTATTTTCGATTGCTAGAATGATTTCTTTTTACTTTTTGTGTGCAGGTTATCCTTGCTGGCCTCCACTTCTATAAATTTGCTTTTTTGCCAAATTTTCAGGTAATCTTTTGCGGTCTAAGCAAAACCACTTCTATTTAATAGTGTTCGGAGTTTGATTTTTTTGCGTATAAGAATCCGCCTCCTGAGGTCGAATTCCGTGTTTAGCAAGGAAGGTTTTGGTATAGGTCTGCTCTTCAAAGTCGTAGGGATTATCAGCGGCCTGGGGTGGTTTTTGAGCCTCCACCTCCACCAATAGGGGGTCTCTCAACTTCCGCCTCCTCCCCCTCCATCCGTCTAATGTCTTTGATTTCTTCGGTTTTTTGGGGCGGTTAGGGCTGCGGTAGAGGAGGTGTCCCCAACGCATTGCAGCGGCCCAACTAACTGCGACGAGTAGGTAAAAGAGGAGGTAGTAGGCTGGAGCCGCCCATGTCGCCATCACCCGCCAAACCTCTATACTGCTAAACCATCCCATTTCCGTTCCCGCAGGCTCGAAAACTCGCACTTCCGAGATCAACATGTGTTCCCTCTGTAAGGCATTTTATTTAGCTTAAGTACAAAAGTCCTCTTGCTTGCGTTTACCCACTCCATACACTACTCAGGAGAACGCCAATCTGGTCTAAATTTCCACTTAAATCGAGAAATAGGAATTTTTGTTTACTTAAGTTTACTTGCGTTTCCGCGGCCACAAGTCTTTGATATTTTATGTGTAGATTAAAATATTTGCTGATTGTGTTAATGTGTTTGTGCCATTTAAATGGACCGATAGGGGGTATTGGTTACTCACACTTTAAGCCAAATTTTTAAAATGCAACAAGTGCTAGTGGCTTTTATTTTTTTCAAAATAAGGATTGCAGTCCAAAAAAGGAACAGCCTCTGTACCTAAATATCAGCGTAAAATTGTTTTCCATTGTTTCTTAAAGCAGCTGCAATCTAAGAATTTTTCAATATCTTTAAGTACTTTTTGCATGCCTAAAACGCCTTACTTCGGCCTAAGTTTTCCTGCTTAGCTGATGTCGCCCCTGCGTTTACTTTGAATGTGTCACTGCAACCTGCGAGTTGAAGGTTAACTATTGCCGGAAAATGTGTAAAACTTTAACTGCTTGAATTCTTTTGGCGGTCTTCACTATTCGGTCATTCATGTTGCAGGTATATATCATGCTCTTTTTGTTCCCACACACGCGTTCGTAAATAGGTACATCTACATTATAGGCGTTTTGATTGGTCTTCTAGATTCAAAGTCACTCTCATGAATCCCATTTTATACAATTGGAAATGCAATATTTAGGCCATGTATAGATCATTTCATGAATTACAGTTTGCATGACAGCTTAATGGGCTGTTTTGATTATATAAAACTTTTTTTGATTTTGCTGCTGTCGAATGTCGTGTTATTGATGATGGCGTGGTAAAAAGATGGCGGAGTTCCACTATGATCCAGAGGACGCAGTCATGTTCGGTTTACGATCTAAGTAGGATCTGAGAAGGATTTGCCACTTGTTTTGCAAGCTGGGTTTGGCAAAGGTTAGTAATGAAGTAAAATTCTACTGTAACAATACTTCAGTGACCGGTTGTTGTTTTGTAGCCTGTGATACAAATGCTCAAAATTACTTACATTTGTGGCTGACAATTTCCTGCTTATCTTGATCATTTAAATTATGAGAGATTTAAGTTGGAATCCAATTGTGACTAAGGTAAATCGCTTATTTTGCCTAAAATCATCACCTGCAAAGAGGGTTAAAATATCGCGCTTGAGGTGATTGCTGTGGAGGTTTCTCACCTTACTAGTCTGTAGCGTAACTTTTTTACTTGTTTTGCACACTAGGGTCTTGCCCAATCTCTGCGAAAACTCAGCCAGTCGGTCCCACTGATATCTACTAGGTCAAAATCGGGCCTCTATCTTTACAATCAACACTTTGACGCCAATAAGAGGAACAAGTTTTCCCACAGACAAAATTAGTGACACTAGTGCAACAGTACTGGTCATGAAGACACGCACTCTTGATTCCGCCTATCTACTTATAATGCAGATAACATCAAGCATGATAGAAGACGTTAAAGGGGTAAGCCGATGAAGGCATGTAGCCCAACCAGTGTAATTGAAGTTTGCCAAAACTAAGTCTTCGATACTAAAGACTCACCACCGTCCAATCCGACGGCTGTTTGATGTAGCTACAGTCAAAACTACCCCAAATATTACCACTGTTCTTAGATAAACTACCAAGTCGACTTGGTAAACTACCGGTCCGTCTGACCACTTGAACCGCAACCGGTGTTGGCGGTTGGCTAACTGAAGCACTCTGAACAACTTCAATGCTGCATACCCTCCCTTGGCATATCACTAGGTGGAACGCGCTACGCCACGAAGGTTAACCTCCACTCCACTGACCTTGACTGCTTGTGGATCAGTTATCGACCATAACCATCCACAATCAGACGTGTTAAACTAAAGTACCCCGTGGGCAGTCAAAAACTAAAAGATGGCCTAGGCTTACATCAAAGTCAGGGTCGGTCACAAAGTACTATAGCACCGCCTTGACTCAATGTACCGTCAAAGACTGCCTAATTCTTAGTGATCGTTATTTTGTCCAAGTCACTTGCTTAAAGAAAATTGGACAATTTCACACACGTTATTTTGAAGTCAGGTGCATGAAATTCATTGGTAGAGGTTTTACTTGCTAGCCACATATGGATTGTGTTACCAGGTTTATTAAAAGCTGTAGGCATTACCAAAAGTGTCAAAGAATTCTTTTAGATCCCAATCGGTACCTTGGCCTCTGCCAGAACAGCTCTGATCATGACTCTACCTCATTTGCGTCAAACCGATCGTTCTGGTGAGCTCCTTTTCGAGGTAATCGGAGATAGCATTCTTCATGCCTCGTACGGCCACTAAGACATTAAATGTACTACACCATAGCTTCAACCAAAATGGACCTTCGAAGGCGTTACTTATGGACAGTGGAACAAAATTCACTTTGTAGAAGTTTCGTAACTTCTGTTAACACGCCAATACGCAAATTTAATCTCCACCATTTCACATGCAATTTAACGGGGTGTGGAAAGATTCGTCGACACATCCAAGCCACCACTACTGAAGTCACGAGGGTGGGAGACGGCCGTCAATATCTCAAACCCTTTTACCTACATTGGACAAGTCTAAATGAATCCGCACGAGTTTTTAACAACAATTGCAGCTAGCTTACCTTGCTTTGACGTTCTCCTGTGGATTCATTTTTAAATAGATTGGGTCCCTCGAGCCAGCACTGCCAAGTGCCTGAACCGAAAGCGGTTTCTGGGGCGACACGGAGCCAGCGAGCCTTCCACAGATGCTCCGTGGCCTCGTGCAGTGCCGAGTGGAGGTCCCAGGATCTCTCCGACCTGTCCACTGTCGTCTCTGCCGCTCCAGCGCTACCGTCGCCCTCACACAACTGGCTCTCCTCAGGGTGGCAGAGGCGTTCCGAAGCTAGTAAGTCCCATGCCTCGTCGGTGGTAATCATTGTCTCGCCCGAGATGGGCCTTCCGCGGGGAGTGAATTTCCAGCCCACCCGCACCATGCTGACATCAGTGCCTCGCAGAATGAGACCCACCAGGGGAATGTCCGCGTAGCAATCGACTTCATTTTCAAATTGACATCATAAGTGGGTATATTAGATCAACAATCTCATTCGTCCCTTGATGGGTACCTCATTCGATTTGTACGTAATTTATTATGTATATAACTTATTATAAAATTAGAATTTACAATGTGACTAGCTTATGCTTTCTTTTCCAAAGGAAGAATTGTTACCCTCAAAAAATTATTGCTCCATGTACTACCCGTTATAGCAAATCTCTGAGACGAACAAAATCAGCCACAAGGACTCCATTGTTTTCAAAAGTTTTCTCAAAATGTTGATTTCAAAGTGTTTTGCAACCGAAACTGTCACTTCTCAGTGGTAATCACCTTTGGTACGTAGTTATTAGGAAGGAAGACAACCGCCGTCATTAGGGTCAAACTGCCTTATATTTTCTCTTCCAGTGAAGGGATACTAATCCACACCAGCTACTCCAGGCAGTGTTCGGTTGTGCAGTGGAAAAGCCTCACAAAGGGAATATCCGTGTATCATTTGACTTGGTGACAAGATGCATATTCAACGCAAGTCTGCCCAAACATCTAGCGAGAAGTCCACTTGTAATATCGAGAGGAATAAGATGGAACCGGTAAACCTCGATAAGTAATGGATTTAAGCGAAATCAAACATCTGCCGTGGTTAACACCAGTGTGGCAGCGTGGAGATCATGTGGATTGAACGTGTCACACCTGGGGTGAAAAGAGCATTTCTTGCACCATCTGATAGAAGGAGCTGTCAATCAATTTCAAGTCTTCGAGAAGGATTGTGCAATTCACAGGTTAAAAGTTGTAGTGCATTATCATGTTCAAAAGGCGAAAAAAATAATAACAAATATCGGGCAGTTGATTGCTTTAATGCTTTGCCGCATGGTGTGGATTTAAAGAATTTTTTCCTGTGATCCCAACTTGCGCACTTTTCCTTCGGACCTTTTGGTACTACCACAACCTTCTCTTTTATTTATTCCTTAAGGGCCTACAACACATAAGTTTTGGATACCCAATTTACTTATAGCTCAGTGGTTTTGTCATCTTCAAATATCAAAACGGTGCAGAGTAACTATTGTCCATTTTTCGGAGGAGTGGTCCTGGGCTCTGCAGCGTCGCAAGGTAATTTGCTTGGTCGATTCATTCCAGTAGACACAGGATGCGAGGAATTGGGATCATCAACTTAGGTCCCCTTTCAAATCTGGCGGAAGTTACTCTCCTTCGATGGTGATAATTCAACCGTAATGAGCTTTATGGATAAAAGTTTTTACAAAGTACTAGTAAACTGCACACCAAAATGAAGTTTAGGAGCTCCAATTGCCGTGGCATTTAATATATTTAGCTTGCTTCTCAATGACAGTTGTGTAGTCGATCCTTGTCGCCCTTTCGTTTGTCTCCAAAATATACCTATTTTTATGGTCCATTACCTTGTCTTGCTACCCAAAATGTACTTTCAGTGGCACAGTAGTCAGGTGTGTTACTGTCGTTTCGAAAAATATCTACAACCATCATATTCACCTATATTTCTGCATTTCATTTGCCGCAATTCTTCCTTTCGGGCTTTTAAATTGGGAGGTGTTATGCTACCTACAACTTTTTGGGGAGTCACCACCCGAATAGATCACATGTTCTCCACTCAGTGGAATTTGAATGCCCTCCTCCGTCTTTGATGGGAATCAATTTATAAGCGCCTTTTATCATGCCAGAAAACAGGACTATGCAGTGCTCAAAATCCTACGTTAGGAGACCCTGGAGACGGCATGTTCCACATTTGGAAAGCAGCTGTTGTACAAGTTACCTAGGGAAGAGACACTGCAGCACCGAGTGATGGTGGGTGCGCATGCCACAGAACATTTGGAAGTGAGCTGTTCTGTACCTCATTTTCAAAGAACAACGGTGAGCACCTAATCCATTTGCTGGCCTATTATCACGCTTCTTTATTGCTCATACTAGGTTCCATGTCGTTATTTTATGCAACTATTCTACCACAAACGCCAAAAGGGGCCACTCTACCTCCCCTTTCGAACTATGGCCGCTTACATCGGCGCAATTTGGATGTAAAAGATATCACGTACCGTCGCAGACGCAATACCTAGGGTGACATATAAGAAGACGCCTTAGAGAAATTGGAATGCGTTGATTGTTTGTGTACATATTCTACCCCAGTATTATGCCTTCCTTCGTCTTCAGGGAAGTCTCGGGGCGCTGCATATTCTCTACAACTCTTATGCCCACTAGAACTAAACTTTACGGTATTTCCTACATTTACAAAGTAGTAGCTGTGTTTTAAAGTGAGCTAATTTGCAGCTCTAAGTTGTGCTAGTCGGATGCGTCCAAAGCACTTATGTTTAAAATAATTCTCCCTTCTAGGAGTCGCGCGATTTTTACCAAGGTGTCCATTGCCATTAATCCTCTTTGCGGGTTCCATCGTTGAAGGTTCACTGTTTGGGTATTTCTTTAACAATCGTACATAATATTGTTTTCTTTAAGTCTTAATCAAAAGCCGACCTTTTACACTATTTCTAAGATGTCAGATATCCCTACTACTAATATTAATGCCAAATTCGACTTGTTTTGAGGGTTTTTGGACATTTTTCGGACATTTTATAACTGTGTATACAGAACAATCAAAGTTAGTAAAATCCAACCGTAAAATATCATACAACAATAAATTTCCAAGGCTTGCTTAAAACTGTCAACAATGCATAGCAGATGGGAGCGTGACATTCATGGTTTATAAATTATCCCATTTGGGAATATCTGGACTCTGTCGAATAGGCGAGTATACGGTATCAGTTGAAAAAAACTTACTCTTAAAAATTGTCGTATCAGGACCGTGATTCGTGGAAGAATCTATCTGCCAAGTCCAAGCATCAAAGAAAGTTCCCTTTTCATCATTATTTTTGAGTTCCTTCTTTGAATGAGCCACCACCGCCTTTGACTTTGTTGAATCAGTACTCCCCTCTTCCCTGCCAAAGCTCTTGGCCTCAGTAACCCGAACGGAGTGGATGGAGAGGAGGGTGGCATTTTTCATGTCCACGGAGAGTCCCTGGTCGAAGGTGCGTTTAGAGAGGAGGCAGGCGTACTGACCGGCATCGGAGGGGTTCGCGGCGAGAACACGTAGTCCCACCCCAGATGTCAAGGGGATCTTGAAGATCCCCATGGACTCAGCTATGCCATCGGAGCTCTGTGAGACGCTCATTTCAAGATAAGTGCGACGTCCGTCGCCACTCCACGGGTCGACAACGCGGTCCCAACGTCGATGGATCCACCGCAGCGAATAGCGATGACCGCCAGAGCCACTAAACGCGGTAAGAACAAGACGCTTCGCATCTTTGCTTATGTAGCAGGGCAGGTCAGCCAAACCGCCTATCAACACCTCATGGGAAAAGGGACCGTCAAAAGTAAATTCCGCATACACCTTGGTTAAGCATCCCAGACTCGCCAACACCACGAAGAACACCTGACACCACATGGTATACCTCCGGATGGAAGAGCAGAGTGGTCGATAGAAGGCGCATTTTAAAATTTGCAATTTATTCGGCTGCTAATCAAGGTTTCAAGGAGGACTGAATTGCACCCCATAGAAAATCACTTCGCTAATTGTACACTCACTTGCCATTTAGTTTAGAAATTTAAACATGCAGTCTGATTGAATTAATGATGCAGTTTTCTGCTTTCTCCAATGTCGTCTACAATCTTCAAAACAGGTTTTTGGACTACACACTCCTCGAGGTGTGCATAGTTAAATACCAAATTCGTTTACATTAATGCTTTTTTAGCTAAAATGCATTCTTTGCGTCATCTGTTTCAATGATCACCATTTTGAAAGCTTCAAACGTTATGTGTCGAATCGCGACTTCTCTAAAAAAGAGGACATATTACTCTGACAGAGTGTGTACCATCGACGCGCAAAAGGGCTTGGAGCTACTGACATGATCAGGGGGTCAGGCCATCCGGAGGAGGTACGATGGCGGAGCCCCTAAGTAGCCCGTTACCAAAACCGAAAATTAGTTATTTGTATCCACTTTGGATTGTGAATGTGTATCCACGAAATATCATTTTATAGCTGCAGAAGGTTTGGGCTGTTTATTCGTTGAGATAATCACCATTCCATTTTATCACTCACCCCAACGAGACAAATGTGTGCCAATTCCACTTTCATGAAAGGCTCCACCTTCAGTCGATAGACCTCAATCTCAATCGTTTAATTTTCTGCAGGCAACCCGTCTTAAACTACTGCGTCTGCAAAGCAAGTCCAGTCTCTCTAGTGATAAAGGGTTTTGGAACTCAGGAGTGTGAACTGAGTAGTGAGTGGATCACTTGGGATAACCGCTGATATGTTCACAAAACAGACTTTAGAGTACAAGGGCAATTTTCCGTCACAATTCAGTCGGACAGGAGGTACTCCTTTCCCAACTACGGGTTGCATGAAGGAAGTGGCGACCAAACTGATGGCCTGAAACTTATTTTCATCGAGTTTGGACTCATTTGTTCGGCTTTTGTTGCGTGTGTTAACTAGTGCTGCATTGTGGTGCTCCCAGACTTCCCTGAGGACTAAAGCACATGTAATACTCGAGCATAATAATATATATTCGACTTGGGGGCTACCGGTATGACCCCGATGCCAGCCCACTCGGCGAAAGTACAATGGCGGAGCACCCACGTGACCCCTTTACTAAAACCAAGAGTTATGCAAGCAATATAGTATCACTCTCATCAAGTATGACAAACTTTTTAAACCTTGACTCTTATCACTTTAATCAATGGGGACACGTAAGTCCCCCTTCTTTGTTTTAAAGAAAAGAGAATTGTCCTGAACACTATGCGTCTTACTTTTGGTGAGTTTTTTCTGGACCCGATTTATCTAAACCAATCACCGGTAGTAATTTATCACTGCAGCTTTTTCAAATGCTCCACGCCAAGCCGCAGCCGCTCCAGAACCGAGGTCAACTCGATTCGCATCCAACAGGACCAGCCTAGAGTTTACGATGAAAGCGGATTCAAAATAAGGATGAAATGCCGCAGGGCACCAAAAAACTAACTAATAAATCCTCACTAAAATTCGTTACATGAACCTTTTCGGTCGTCTGACATCTCACACTTAGGTGGACGCAGAAATGTTTACTTATTGTCCTTACGAAAGCGTGAGTTCACTTAGACAAAACTGTTTGATTACACAATCTCATGCATAGGCTTATAAATATTTATGGTAAACTGTGATTTAGCTAAGAGTGTAAATTTATTTGACTGACTAAAAGGCGATTGTGCGTGGGAAAGCTTTCCAGTTACTCGAATGATTATCCATGCTTCTGCTTAGACCCGATTCGTCTGAATTTACTTCCCAGTTCTTGGGAGTTCAACCACCAATCTGAATCACTACAATCACTACCTGTAATCAGTTTTTAAACTGATTTGACACTTGAGAAGCACAGAAGGCACTTCAGTTGGTCATAAACTTAAATGTCTTCCCGTAACTGTAATAACTACCTCAGTCGCAACCGGGCCGGTCTGCAGACCTTCCCAGGTGAAATGTCATCCCCACTGAAATGCGCATGAATAAGCACCCGGCACCTGCTGTTGGCTTGTACTTAAGGTGGGGCATCACCATGGCGCAAGATGCCTAATTTGAATAATGACTCAGCTCGGCGTGGTGTCGGAAGCGTGAGTCACTAAGCCGGATCACGATGATTGCTGGTACTTGGATCTATATATCAGAGCTGAGGGCTAACCGGCATGCCATGTGACCAAGGCCTCCTCCACTTTATTAATGTAATTTTTTAAAGTTATTCTCTATAGGAGTTTGATCAAATTTTTGACCAAGGTAATGACTATTAAAACCCACCTTCCACATTAGCTGTGGTTGTAGGCGTCACCCACTGGTCCCACTTTCACCCACTATGAAGAGCTCGCAATTAAGTGTCTGGTTTCTCTCTGAAGACGTCACAATGTAACAGTAAAAGCTAACGATATTGTGCGTCTGGAGAATGCAAAAGTGCATTACTTCCTCAAGAAAAACTTCTTTAGCAGCTCATTTTCATAATTTTTGAAGCCATATCTGAGTGCAATATACCACGTCTACCTGTTGTGTTCAAGGGTGATTCCATCCCAGTGCCCCCACTTCGGGCAGCGCTGACTTTCAATGCTCGCAAATTGTTAATGGCAGATTTACTTTAGCTGAAACAGACGGGGCGCTTGAGCCGTGCCTTAATGCGTTCAGTTGTGCGGGTCCCAGAACTGCCTATGTGAGGGCCTATCTTTGTTTGCTCCTGTTACCCCCATAAAGCTGGTGTTGAGAATTTACGGTTGTAACCTGGAAAAGAAACAGGTTTACTTTGACGCTCTAAACCGACGAGTGGTATCCAAAGTCAAAAATGTGGCCACGAAAAACTCACCGTGCAGGAGAGAGCCTCCGCTACCTCTACTTGGTGACTCGGTGATGGAGGTAGAATGGGTAATGCATTAACTTGCACACAATTGCACCCACCGTTCATTTCATGGCATTCAGCGCGCTCTGCCTTGCCACAAACCCCGATCCTGTTTACGTTCAAATTCCAGGCTTTGGGTTTATAATGCTAGATTTGACTTGAACAGGAGGAGCAGTTGCGTACCGGAAGAGGAATAAATGACCCAAGTACGTAAGCACTTACTGGGCTCGCCCATGGTTATGCGTGGTGATAATCGTTCTCTGATAGAAGGAGGCTTCAAAAGTGATGAAAACGGATTGCTAAAGAGATGCCTTATGAGTGCTATGCATTCTCCAGGCGCGCAGTACAATTAGCCTGCATCATACACTAGTGCTTATCAAAAGTCGTGCGCTCGAAACCCTCCATATCAACTCCGAATCAAGTACAAAACAAGTACAAAAAGGTTTAGGGAATGATGAGATTCCGTGTTCAGGTAGCAAAAGGAGGAAGAGGATTGTTTCTGATGAGTAAATGCTGAGATTGCTAGCAACAGCGACAGCTTTGATTGCCCCACCAGGAAAATGGTTAAAGGGGAAAAAGGAGGTCACTCGACGAGATGGGGTAGGGTGGGATAGGGTGCTGATGGCTCCGCCGAACTTGGCCTCACCTCCACCCCCAAGCAGGCTTCATGAGAAGTGGAAAGAGCCACGTCTTGTGTCACATTGGTTTGATTGTAGGGTGACGACACTTGAACCACTTCTGCATAGGCTAAAACAAACATAACTGAGTGAGATGGCACAATTTCGTGAGGAAAGGTGCTTTATAGGAAAGGTGAGGAATGTAATAACATAAGTTGATACTTCAGCTAATTGAAGCAGAAGAACTGTTTTGAATTATCTAGGATTGCGTAATAATCTTAAATGAAAAGCTCAATTCTATGAAGCAATCACGTTGAGCCGCCCTAGTGATAATTGCATTTAGTATAGAAACAGTTTCATACACCAACTAACACTAATAAATTGTATCGTTGATAAGTAAATTGAACGCGAGCGGTTGATTACGCTGTGACAAAAGCTTCGTCCAGGTCCGTGCAATGCTTTTACCAGCCAAATCGTCGACGGGGTATTCCTATTTAGAACTCAATTATAAAACTGGTATCTGGGGCCAGGTGTGTGATGGCAAGGGTAAGTCAAGACCTTAAAATCCATGTTAGCGAACTGAATGCACACCACGGACGACTGAGTTGTTAGTTGTGCAATAGGGTACTGTTTCTGTGCTTTCGCACATACGCATAACTCATATGGCCGGACGACAGACGGGCCATAATTTCCTAGCTCACACCGAACAAACACAGATATGGAGTACGAATAGAAGACCACGTAAAAAACCAGTCCTAAGTTTCAGCAAAATTACCAAAATGCGGTAAGAACCACTTACGGCATTTACGAGCCCACTGCGATAAATTCTCGAGTGATTTCTTTTCACTCCAGTCTTACTTCGGTGTGGCCTTCCAAATCATTTAATTATCAGTAGACACATTAGGGAGGAACAAAAGTGCCTTCGTTGCCGTATGAAATAGGGCTGATGATAGGTATTTTCACATTGCCACGTGGGCAGGAGTATCGCCATCATATGCACATTTGTGCATTAAAACCATGTTCGTAGATTAGGAGGAGAATTAACAAGGACTGCAACGCACATGCTGATTTGGGATAACGCCTACACACTTTGCTGGAAGTGGTTGGCATAAAACGCCACAGACCTTAAGACATGATGGTAAACGATGGGTAAAGAACGACAAAGAGAATTGGCCCAACGTCCAACCCCAAAGTTTTACGATAAAATACCTTCTTTGTGTAAATAATTTTGTTACAGAATGTCAAACTCTACCTTTCGGGAGAATAACTAATAGGAAAACGTTTGAAATGCCCCACAAGCTCCCCACTGACAGTAATTGAAATAAAAGTAGCATAACAAACGATATGAAATCGAATCAGGAAAAAATGTGGATCATGGACTCTAAACTGATTACCAACGCGTCTAACGTAGAAATCAGCTAATGCTGCGCATTAAGGCAGATGAAGCCCAAATAGATGCTTTTATGGCAAAACCGTCCAAAATTGAAGTAAAGAGCTCTCGTGATGTAAAGAAACGCAGAAAAGATGGAACTATTTTATCCGGAACTTGATTCAACAGTCATGAACTGCTTCACGGTAATGCGCCTAATCATGGCAACTTTAGCGTTTAGCCACATTTACACGTAAACCTGCTTGAGCCAACTGGCGGCATTACGATGGTGTGACACACTTCAAGACCAAGAATACACTCCAGAGATGTTATTAGGAACGGTGACAAAAGAGCTTTGCAGTGGGAATGAATTGCTCTGGAAAGATGGTAATTCGGAGCATTCATTTCATTTAAACGTCATTTGGACAGCCTTACCACAAACTGCACTGTGCAAACGAAGGAGGTGGAGAGGGCATTTACGTGTCAAACCTGGATGTAAAACGAAAGTCTAAAGGATTAAACTTCCGGCTAATGGTGTTTGCATGAATTAAATTGAATGAATGTGATGCAAAGAACTTAAGCCCTGGAGGCTGACATTCCATGAGAACCCACACGAGCAAAAAAACGCGACCAGCTGCTGCCAGTGTGGTCACCAACAGCCATTAAAACTGATCCTTTTAATAACTAAGACTGCAATTTAGCCCTGCTTAAAAGCCCTCTGACCGGCTAGATTAATTAAAAGCATGTGTCCCAACGATATTTCCTACCAAGGTGACAATTTAGACTAACCAATTGATCAACTTGAGGGTCTAGAGTCAATAAAAGAAACCAAAATTCTCATTCCATCTACTGTTGTGAGATGGTGTTGAAAAGGAAAGAAGGGGGTTTCGTTCATTTAAATGGCATGCCTTCATGTTGCAGTTACTTTGAATTTACTCCCAAATGGTGTGGTCTATTGTTTTTCGACTAATGGATAAGAAATTGCACTATAGGGCAATATGAAAAAACAAAGTGAATAAAATAACCGGATTAGTTGTTTGAACTCAAAATAGCCGGTTATCAGAAAGAAAGGCTTACTATCAAAATGGTTTGATCTCATCCACACAGCATTCACGTACCGCTAAGACAGAAAGTAATAAAAAGAATTCCGCAGCTTACAGGGCGGAGCGGAGTCGGAGGGTGGGAAAGTTAGCTCCGTAGGAGGGTGCTGGTGTTGGGAGTGCGAAGAGGCGGAGGAGCGTGGAATCCGTGGAGTTGGCGCATAGTCCGGATTCGTGGGCGGCGGTCGAAGGAGGAATGACGAAACTTCAGCATCTATAAGACAAGATTAATTCACGTTAAACTGAAATTCCCTGTGGTAAACAGGTTTCAACGGCTTAAGTAGCACCAATGTAGACAGTTAATCGACATAGGGTCAAAAAGTGGATAAGACCGTGAATAAACCCCAAATGGTGGGATAATTGCTAGGGCTAATCGTTTTGTGAAACAAATAAAATGACAGAGGATGGTGAAGTTCATCGAAACAATTAGTCTAACGACCATCAGCAGCCACCAAATTTTATGAAATTTGGTGAAAGGTATAAAAAGTTGGCAATCTCTCATGAGTTTGTTGGGGAATTATGAAAAGAAGGCGATAGCATAAGATTTTTGGAGAAAAACTACGAATAATGCATAATGGTAAGAAGCTAAAATTTACTAGGACAGATTAGACGCAATAGGTTATGCTGGTAAAACACCCATTAATTCTTAAAAACCATGAAGATAACGACAGTGCTTCTTCCATTTGGAAGCCTTTACGGAAATTCGACTTTTACAATTACTAAGATTCAACGAAATAAGCACATGTTGGATAAACAATTTGTCTCGTGGCCAAATGCCCACACAATAAAATAAGCCGTTACGCGTTCAATTTTAGTGAGAAGTAGGGATGTCTGATAATTCGGATGTTTCAAACGTAAAAAGGTCACAGTCCCAACGTGTTTATACTTATCAGAAAACACAGAGGTGGGAGTATAGACTAACTGGTGACTTATTGCTAAAAGTGACCTATTTTAGTGCCGGAGCGCCTCATTTGGAACACGAATGGAGTGCTGTACGTTCACGTGATTTAAAGCGGCACAGGGCATACTACAGGACGCCATTGAAGGTAGGTAGCAAAAACCACTTAACTTTACGTGCATAGGAAAAAAAACACTTGATCTTTCGATCAAGGAAGCATATAGGTTCAGATGGCAAAGCCTGGTTGCCGGTGAACAAACACCATTTCATTCACGCAGTTTCCATGTCTTTTAGGACACTGATTAGCGATGCGAGTGGATTGGATTTTCACAGGAATACCTCGCGAGATCAGGACCACAAGTAAATAAGGAATTACGAACAGGAGTTTATTAATTTGCAGTTCTAATAGTTAATAGTTGGGATTTCTCGCTCAATGGCTTATTCTAAAATGCGACTTTTGTGGAAAGTTTCGCGACTAGCTACATTCATTTGCAGACACAGACACGATATAAAAGGTTCTTATGAGTCGAAACCGACACTGATGAGGCATGACCGACTGCATGAATTCGGCAGAGGACAGTACATCCACAAACCACTCCACAGCCTTGCATAAACATTTACACGCCCAGTTCAAACAAAAAAGTAAGTCCTAAGCAGCCCATTTGTCGAAAACCAATCAAACGCTCAGGAATTTCACAGAAGATGTAATTCGTTAGTTATGCAAGAGTGAAATATCAATATGCAATTCAGTAGGCATGGAACGATAACACCTGTAGGCGTATGTGACATCGTATCCTACGTAAAAAGCCATTATTTTGACTTACTGAGACCAGTTAAAACCAAGTCATGACCATTTTATACGACATTGCAAAAAAATCAAAAAGGAAGCAAATGACCTGTTTATCAGCAGCACATATTACAAAGTGCGCCTGATAATGTGGAAAGTGCCTCAAAGTTTAATAAAGCATAGAATTTTACAAATCTACTAGCATACATAATAACGTGCATAAGGGAGCGGGTAACCTCATACTTGCTAAGAGACACTATTTGACTAAAATGCAAAGATGCTTAGGTTTTCGATCACAATAGATTTGTGAAATTATATTTAGGAATCATGTTAAATGGTATCGGCTAGCTTGCAAGCTACCTGTACCCTAATGAGCCAAGTAGTGAACACGAAATAACATAAAAGTAGTCTAACGGAAAGACTACGTGTAGGATACGACAGTACCTTTGAACGATCGAGCGAGTCAGGCTACAAAAGTATGAATTACCAGAGGTATTTTTTGTGAACACACTGAAATAATTCGTGGGAATAGACAAAATATAGCTATGGAACGAACCATCAGGATGGTGGACAATTGGGGATGGCCTGTGGTGGCGCACTTTCCGCTTTGTACAAAGGTAGCATGATACACAGGCAATTCCAATGACTGTAACAATGAGCAGACCACCTAAACAAAAGTGGCGAGTGTTAGCGGTCAGACTATACTAACCGACTGTGTTAAAAAGTAGTATATACTGTAAATCGTTCGCATTAGCACCGAAAGCACTCAACGGGGGATTTGTAAAAGGATCAGAAATAGGTCTACAGCAAAGAATGGTGTGCTTTTCGTCTCCAAAAAACTTGTACAAGAAAGACTGAGTGACACTAAAACGCGAGAACTAACGATAAACTTTAAAAGAACAATAAGCACAGATATGTAAATAAGCATAGCGCAGAGTTGCCCGGAATGAAAGGATAACATACTACTTATTTACTTGCAAGACAAAAGACAATTGAGGTTAGCTGAGATTGAGACAAGCATGTATCAGCAAACAAATGATACGTCTGATTTCAGACTAAAAAATTATGGATGTACTAGCTGCTGCGAGTACATACCAGCAAATACAAGAGCCCAAAACACAGGCGTAAGTTCGCCAAAATCCAGAAATTCCCTATCGGCCACCTCTCGCTTCATCGCCAGACTACAAAATCCAAGCAAAACCGGAGAATCCCACAAGGGATGATATCGATAATATTAGCGCTAAAGCGGCAAAGCCAACCAGCATTGTCACAGGAACACATACAAACGATAGTGCTTCATTTGCAATTCAGCTTCTTATGGAACTAATAATTCATAGCAAATACTCCTCTCGCAATAAGTAAATAGAGAGTTTATAGCACTTAAATATCCATTCCGAAATGACTGGCCTTATGCATTTTTATTATTTGCTCAAAATTGAGATGAACATCAGGCATCATTTTACCAAAAAATGGTTTGCGTATGTTTTTCACGAATAAAAGCCTCCGATATACACTGATTTGGCGTTTAAATTTCCTTCATTTAGTCTTTTATATTGTTGATATATTGTATCGACCATTAAATTGAAATAACTCGTAGTGTAAGACCATGCGCTGCAAGCGCCGTAGCTCATAGACCTTTCTACGTTTAAATGCTTATTAAGGACCGTATATTTTTCGGTTGCCACTGCAACACGCTCCCCAGTAGACCCTTCTCATATGCATAACCCACCAGCATGCTACGAACGTGGATTCGCTCGGACTAGATAATCAGCGACCCGTCTAACGGCTTGTGACTCAGCCACCCAGCACCAATATAGCCGCACACCCATCAAAACCCTAAAGGGGAACCTCTCCACCTTTGCCACAAACCAATCCGATAAGCAACGGAACTTCAGGTGAGTGGTGCGACCCCCTCCCCCCGCACTCTCCTTCGTTGAGGTAAAGTGACACAGGACTTTTATACTCGAGGTCACAGATTGCCAAGGAGACTGTCGTGATGAATGTTATTAAATTACAGTATAATGTACACTTGATGCTTCTCCCACATCATTTTAGACTTCATCCAGTAACGTTGACTTGGTATCCTGATCCACCTTCGGCTGCCACGTAGAAAACACACATCAGTTAAGGAGACAACAGCAGCGACAACCTACAGTAAAGCAGTTTTTACCCAAAGTTTTTAATCTCATCGTCGCATTACCATCAGGGATACTTTAACCTCTAGCTTGGAAAAAAATGTAGATATCATAAACTGAACAACGTCTAGTAACTTGCGGTATTAAGTGCTCTGCAGTTTAAATGCCAGCTAAATCCACTGGAAATTTAAAAGGATATCATTTCCCGAGGAGATCAAACGTTCCTGTTCCAATACGCGTATGATTGCCGACGATAATGCTCTCAGTCACCCCTATAGGGGGAGAAATATCAATGACATCGTCGTTTCAAGGAGAAAATACACGACATGGAGCTTTTGACACAGACTGTGCCAAAAATACTTAAAGGATAGTTTATTACCTGATAATGTATCATCTTGAGCATGATACGCGGCCTCGAAGAGGTGGTCGCCGGTCCGTTCAAACTAAAAACGAAAGTAGGACTAATTCGGTTCTTTTTTCTTACGCCCAGAAAAGCTTACTTTAAAGTAATTTAAGTAGCTGTTTAGGAACAGGAAAACCAAAAAATATAGGGACAATCAAAACCCACTGAGGCAAGACAGAGCACACTGTTTTTCGCTTTTGCCATACCACTACGCTGATAACCGTAGATTTCGCCCTGAAATGAAATGCGGTAAGTCCAGTTTACTGTTATAAATGCAGATGGCAAACTCAAGCTATCATACTATTGCATGGAGTTTCATGGATGATTCACTATAACGATTGTGACGCTAATTTTATTAAAAAGAAGCAAAAACAAAACAACAGTAGAGGATATTAGCCTTTACAATAACGCTTTGAGATTGATAACAAAAGTATATAGCTACATCCCATCAAGGAACAATCTGATGGCCATAAATGTTCTAAAGGCTCCAAAACAGCAACAAAATAAACACCCATAGTAAAGATGAAACCCACCCTATTGGCCATGAGATCGGCGAGGAGCATGACATGGCGGATGTTGACCTCAACGCCGTGTCCCTCCATAACTGCAAGGAGTTCGTCCATGACCACGCGACGTGCTGCCTCCACGCCCAGACAGCGCTCCACTTCAAGAATGTTGTTGCTCCGCGTCGCCTCTGGCACCACCCCCGGCACACACATTACCTGCATAGTAATCGACGCAGTGCGAGAAGAGGAACGGATGCTTAAACCCCCCCCCCTAAGCAGAATGCCTCACCTCTCTTAGTTTCGCACCCTCCACGAAAATATTATGTCTACCGTCTTTGTCCTCCTGTATCACTACCCGAGCCACGCCAGGGATGCCTTTGACAACAACAACCTCGAGCATCTGAACGAGGAGTTCCAGACGATTCATATCAGCGGGATAGATGCTTAGGTGGGTGTCGGAGAAGGTGACACGCGAGAGCTTAAGTCGTCTTGTACTCCAACTAGCGTTGCGCACTGCGTTGGCCACCTGTGCCGCGGTAATTTCGCGACGCGCCATCCGCTTGACATCCAACTCCACGCGTACGCACACTTCGTCAGGCGAGAGGCACTGGCGTAGGCGAAGCGCTATGTCCGCCAATCGTGTCGGCTCTATCAACAGCTTCACACGACGCGCCAGGGTCGCCGAAGTCGGGTCTGTTATTGTCACGCTCAACAGCGGGGTACGTATGTTCGCCACTGCGTTTACTATCTCCCGCATTCGCGGTACACCCTTCAAGACAAAATAGAAGGCAAGGTAAATCACCAAGGAAGCATGGAATTCATTCCTTTTTCAAGGTGGTTTGAAATCAGTGAATGATAAGCGCATAAGTACTTTTCACCTGCGTAATGTTCATGCTAGCGACACCGGCAAAGTGGAAGGTCTTGAGAGTCATCTGAGTAGCAGGTTCACCGATGGACTGACCGCAGAGAGCGCCTACAGCAGTACCCGGTTCGATGAGAGCTCTTTCAAATTTCTTCTTCACGCGCATCAGGAAGAGGCGCAGCTGGGTACGTGTGAGACGTTGTGGCTCCGCTTCCACACCCACCGTCACCTCCGCCAACCTCGAGCCTCGCGCCAATCGCATTTTCGGGAGGACCTCATTCATGAAAAACGTCCTGTGCCAAGTATGCAAGTAGAGTGGTTCAATCAACAAGTATTTGTTGCACAAACTCAATGTGGGCAACTAAGTGTTTGTACGATTAAACCAACCTGATGGAGGTGGGGAGAGCTTCGTCGACGTCTTTGAAAGCAGGGAGACGTAGAGCAGCATTTATGGCAATTTCTACCTCGCTAGCGGTCATTGAGGGCTCTGAGCGGCACGGTGAAATGCCCTGACAATGTAGAAAAGAAATTTACTTGTATTACCAGTCAGCTTTTAAACAGATTTCAATGCGCCTACTCATCACGAACCAATAATAGACTGACTGACGCCAGTTCGCCGTCCAGAATCGACTTAAAATGAAGTTACGCTTTGTCTTTTTAAAATGTAAAGGTAGTCACCTTAATATTAGCCAATTCGCGTTTGAGATCAGCGGGGAAGTTTTCGACTTCCATTTCCCCAGGATCCAGTCCATCTGAGCCGTATCGAAACTGAACAATGTCACCACGGCTGTCACGCACTGTTCCATCGTAAGTCACTGTCAGGTCCTCGAGGAACTAAGGGAAGGAAGCAGACACTGATGATGATGATGGCACGTATCCTCAGCAATAACAGGAACAGAGTCTACGTAATTCTGGTAATATTCTGTACTGTGAATATAGGGAATTGACATTTTTCATTGTGCAAGTGATGAAAAGCAAATTAATGCGATTGTTTGAACCAAAATCATCACTAATGCAGTGTGAGATTTCAAGTGATGACAATTATTCCATAGTAAGTCTGTGAAAGAGAGATGTGATCAGTATCCTAACAACCGGTGCTGAAGTTAATAATAATATGAAAGTCCAAATACGCATGTAAATTCAACTGCTGCGCTCTGTGGAAACAAAATTTGACATTAAAATAGTGTCATACAAACAATGCAGTTGCAGTTAAATCTCTTTTGCAACGCATATTTCAGAAATAAAAAGGCATGATGCCAAGGCACTTAAATTCCAACCTAATACCTCGTTCCCCGCTAGCATTCAAATCATCTTATTTACCCTCTTATGAACTATTTTTGAAAACGTCGTAGGTATGATTGCAAAATAGAAGCGAATGTTAAAGTAAATGGTTTGTCTAAACGTAGCCGCCTCTTTCCACCTGCGCTCTTATCAATAATAGTACCTGCTCATATTAATTGAATAGAGGGTAGTTTCGGATACCCGGGGATGACTTGACCGCTCCGTACTAATTTTTAACCACCCAAATTTCAAAAAAATGTAGCAGGATGGTCTCTAAATCGCCAATCTGATTCCTAGCCAAACCAATGCTGTAACAGTCCATGGATGGGTGCGCTATGATTTACCCATGATCGATTAGAACAGAAAAAGAATCAAGGAAGTGACTTCGTGAAGTCCCACAGCTGTAGAAAAAAAGAGGGGTGGCCTACCTTGACGAGACGTCGCTGCATGTATCCAGTATCGGCGGTTTTAACAGCAGTGTCGGTAAGACCCTCACGACCGCTCATGGCGTGGAAGAAGAACTCGTAGGGTGTAAGGCCAGAGTAGAAGCTGTTGCTCACGAAGCCCTTGGCGGCGGGGGTGCGCGAGCCCGGCGGAAAGTGAACAAGACTGCGCACTCCGTTGAGGCAGTCGGGGATGCGTCGACCCCCGATGATCTGCTGGCCTACGCAAGCAATCATCTGGGAGATATTGAGGAAGGAGCCTTTCGAGCCCGACTGAGCCATCACCAGTGGTGAGTTGGAGGGGTGCAGAGTGCGCTTGCATACAGATCCCGCCTCGTCGCGAATCTTCGACAATTCTTGGCTTAAATTTGCCTACCGGTTTGAAATTGACGATCAATCAGCGTGATAACTCACACACTTCCAGTTCTGAGGATAAGGAATTTGACGCCGGAAACAATAGTAACGCCAAAGTGAAAACTGTTCATGCGTAATACGCTATGGATTTTCGAGTGAGCAATCAAAGATTATGATTGGAAATTGCCGACAACGCTTCATATAGGCAGTTCAAACTCATAGCAGAACGGCTGACAAAAGACGTGCAATAGCCATCTCACACTAAATGGAGAGTCCTCGAAAGTACGTAACAAAGACGAACCACTATTTCACAATGCAGCAATAGTGTATGGTAACAGTACACACAAACACAATTCTACCCCAGTAAGCGTGAATTAATGATGGGTAAAAATGCCCCGATGAGGACGACGGTAAAAGAGAAGCAATGTTTAAGAGGCTCAGTAGCTTCCGATAGTATATCGCTTGAGCAAAGAGGAAAGCGGGTAATGCATCACAAATGAAATACAACGTAGTTTCACCCGCTTTGACAGATACGCTAAATTTTCTCCAAGGTGGATTCAATTTTTCGCCGTACTTTACTAACATTTAAACATTACCAAGGGCCTTGGCGATATTATTTAGGTCCGTGGTTTGCCGCCTCCCAAACCGTTTCAGAAACATAGGTTTAAAAATCCTATTCAAGTCATTAGTACCTTGTTTAAAAGAGTCGTTGATAAAGACAAATTCAACACTACCTAAGAATCAAGTAGATGTCACTCGAAGGTCTGGGTAGGATTGGTGGGAATAAGTCTGCCAGTAAGTTAAGCTATACATTGTACAACACAATTTCCTTCAAATTAGTCGAACTTAAAAAATTAGTATTTGGACACTATTTTCGCATAATTCACGGAGTATCGTCTAATGTAGTAGTGGGTAAGTCGTTGAAACAGCCACTTCATTTATTAACCGGACCGTTGCCATTTCCTCAAATGAAAACTCAACTTCGTGGTCGTGTATGGATCAGATGAAAAAGCAGCTTTTAAACAAGTTTTGAAGGTCGAAAAAAAAAAACAGGCAAAGTGAATTACAACAACAGGATACTCTCAAAATCCAAAAAAAAGTTTTGTCGCAAGATTTTCACCATTCTATCATCACAGCACCAAACAAGAATGTTCACGAGAGCGATACTAAGTTTTAAAGTAGTCGCGAGCGAACCCATTTATTAAATGATAAACAAATTTGAAATCTCGTTCGCCATTTCCGTTTTCACAATAATTCATGGATGAACTTACCTCCAGTGTCTCCTCCGTACTGCATCCAGGATTGCAGGAGAGCGTATTAGTCTCGTACTGGTGAATGTAGTGATCACACTTCGCGAATCTGTAACGGCAAAAGAAAACATAATGTAAGCCAGTGGGAACAGTCCCTGTTGAGGCGAACCGATCCTCACCCTTGATTAATGAGTTTCTGCTTAGCAGCCACGAGTTTGGCATCAGGTGTGACCTCCCCAATGCCGATGGAGAAGCCGCGATTGGAGAGGTAGAAGAGGCCGATACGCGAGAGGCGCCACATTGCATCCGCGCAGGCTTCCCCACCAAAGTCGCGCAAGATGGAGTAGAAGATGCTCGACTTGCTCCCACTGCCCAGCAGTTTCTTATCCATGCACCCCGCCAACAACTCACTATTGTCTATTACCACAACTGCAACAAAAAAGATTTGGATATCAACCACGACTTCCAAGAACTGCAAACTTCTGGTGTGAGCGCTGACTCCCACAGCCACTATAATGTCTGTTCACATTCAAAAAAAAACAATTTAATAATCAGTATCCGGGGAATTTGACAAGCTCTTTTAAGGCATCTCATGAAAGCGCTTGTAAGGTATCGTTGAGGAAATCAACGCTATACTTCATTAAAAAATATCAGCGTAGATCACGAAACAAATTAGTGGTAAAGTGTTCACTTACACCCATCGTTAGGACAGAGTTCCTCCTGCCTACCCAAGTAAATCGACTTCGTCGGCACACGGAGGTTTATTTTAACCTCATTGGAGGGATGAGGTGACATTATCAGACTGAAAATTTGTTTCCCTGTCCACAGTTTCACGGGCTAGGAAATTGATAAAACGGGAATTAAGAATTAACCATGCGTCGCAAGTTCCACGATCGCAAACTCACCCAGAGAACGGCTGGTGTTGGTAATTGGATTTCACGGCCAATGTGCGAGCCTGCCACGAGCTGGCAGGCCAATTGACAAGCCTGATCGAAGGTGAAAAAGACGTCCTTCAGGGTGAGCACGTGAGTGGCTGTGATCAGATCCTGTATAGGAGATATCAGAGGCTCGCCGTTTTTTGGACTGGCAATATTCCGAAGGGACTAAAATGAAACACAATAGACGTACATCAAAACAATCACAATAAAGTAGGTCGTCAATGGAACAAAAGACCCTTATTAATAGTGAAACTTACCATTTGTTTCTCCCTCAAGAAGACTTACAAAAGAAATATAAAATTTCGAAGAACTCAAACAAAACTTATGCAAACTAAAGGTGAAATAAAATTAACTTACAAGCATAAGATGTTTAGCTTCAGCACGAGCTTCTTCAGTTTGCGGTAGATGGATGTTCATTTCATCACCATCAAAATCGGCGTTGAAAGGTGGACAACAACACGGGTTGAAGCGAAACGTTCTGTTAGCCATCACGACAACCTATTTAAGTCATTTAACTTCTTTTACAAATGGCCACGGAAAAAAGCATTCAAGGGACATTCAAATTCTCACTGTTACCACTCTAACAGATTAAATCATGCAGTAAAGAAATATAAGGACAAGAACACAAACAATAAGACAAGTAGTGGCATTTAACAGCATACTTTAAAGGCCTGCATTGATACACGATGGAGGGAGGGTTGACGATTAAAGAGGACGATGTCACCGTCAATGAGATGTCGGTCGACAGTATCGCCAACGCGAAGAGACTTGGCCACACTTTCGCGAACCTTGAGACTGGCTAAAAACTTTTTCACAACATCAGGCTCCTTTGATGACTGATCTGATCTACTGCTGTAGGCCTTATATCTAACAAAAAGGGCGCCCGGATGCTTATAAGGCCCATTCAGCACAAGTGTCCGAAGAAACTCCAAATTGAATTGGGTAACGCGCTCCGGGTAGGTAAGAAGCTTTGCACAGTAGTCGGGAACGCAGACCTAAAATGATTGTATGGAAGGTACAAATAGGAGTAGACACTGTTTCATTTTACATGCCTCTGTGGGAAATAAATAACTGACCTCATCGATGCTAAGATTGGGGTCCGGAGAGATAACTGTGCGGGCGGTAAAATTCGTTCTCTTTCCCAACAAATTACCACGGAAGCGACCGTGTTTGCCGGATAAGCGTTGCAGCAGACCTCGCACAAATTTGTGATCGTGTACAGGTGGAAGTCCAGAAAGTTGGGAGTTGATAAGACGGGCGACTTCCGAATGAAGATTGTCGAAAGAGGCTATCAAATCTGGCTCCGAAAGGTCCTCCTCCAGTGTTGCTGCCTGAGTTAATATCCATTGATACATTTGAGTCAAATCGTCTTCATTTCTAAACATTCAAAGCACTGCTTAAGTCTCACAATATATGGGCGCAGTTACACAACTCTAGAGCGCTTACGTTCCATTTTTCACTTCAGAAACGACTGAAGGTCTAATTGCACTTGGAGGAACAGGAATGCGTTCAAGTATTAGATTTCGAGGGTGAGAAAACCACTCAGAGTCAAAGGGCATCAAAATTAAAGGAAGATCTTGAGTTGGAATCTTTGAAAAAAGCTCTAAGACACGTGACGGTCTTATTGCAACCTATAATAGGAGAATTATTTTAACCGTTAGGACAGTCCCATACTTGAACCCACCACACACTTCCGAGCCAAAGTAAGAACTTCTGGATTTTCTTCAGCTCCATTCGCATACTTTGTTAATTGCTTATCTACTTTTCTAGCAAGACTTTTTGATGTATCATAAAGAACATATGATAAACCATTTCCTTTCTTGATAGTACCTGAAAAATGATTATGAAAGATTGGGCATACCATTGGCAGCATTACAATAGGGGCAAATTGTTGTTCGACTGGCTAGTTTGTGCAAAACTTTACGCAGCATTTTCTTCTGTATGTATTCCAGATTAGAATTAGAACAAATGGGTAAATAGCGACTCTTAACTTGATCGGACAAGAGCACCCGCGAACAATTCTGAACCAATACGACACTACTGCTTAACTTACCTTGCAAATACATTGCAAGATCTTCACTATGTGCCAAAGATAGCCAACATGAAACACAGGCATGGGAAGATCGAAGTATCCCCAATGTCCAATACAAGTCTGGTGGTCCAAACCACAAGTATCGCACAGTTCGTTACGTTTCGTAGCACCAAGCTTAGAATCAAGAAGACCATAATCAAGAGATCTTCCGCCACCCTCACTCTCCTTGTAAAGAAGACCTTTAAAAATAGGGACATGTGCAAGGCGTTCAATGTCCCACTCTGTGGCCAGATGGAAGCGAATGCTTTTGCTAAACCACAATTAAAAGATCGCTTCAAAATAACTTACATCGTTCTAGGAACTTCCGGAGGTCGATAAAAATCCTTCATTTTGAGGAAACAAAAACCATTGCGCAGATGCGCTACAAAATGCACACCAAGGGGAGTCCAAAATAGCGCTAGAAGATACGAACACTATAAATCAATGAATAATATAAGGACAAGGGTTGCAAAACTCCACCAAAAAGAAGTTAGGCCAACTTATGTTGCAGAAAAGTTAGGTTCCTGAAGAAAAATTTAGCCGATAATTTTTGAGAATATTTGTATCTGGTTATAAGCTCTTCAATGTTCTTTCGCATGAAAATCTCAAAAAAGGGCTATGAGTAACTTCTTAAAGATATTTTTTACTGCAGAAGGCACCAATCCTTACCCAGCAAATTTTGCTTTAACCTCTGCTTTTACTTTATACACAAGCATATATCCTTACCAACTACATTTAACGGTACATTAAAAACTAAAAAACCTTACTTCTTATTTGGTAGAATCAGTTGTTATGATACTGGACAGCCATTATTTCTAATTTGAGGGCATGGTTTAAATATCATAGATCGTAGACTGAAAAATACGCTTGAAAGTGGGCGCCCGCTTGTCTGTATCTTACGAGGATCGCATGGCTCTTTTGCACGACAAACGTATACGCGTTATGTATACTATATTGCATTGCGAAGTATTTTGGAAATGGTGCGCGATTATGCATATATTTTGATTAAACTACCGTCAGCTTAAGCTATTTATGCCATCGATTTTGCAAGCGTATCATCTAGCTGTGTTAAAAATAGCTTTTGTTTAAAAATTTATTGTATATGCATGATTATAATGCGAAAAATATTTTTTTTAAATATCCTTACTCTTTTACTAAACTAGAAACGCAATGAAGTTGCGTGCCCTCAAGGCCTTTTTGCTTTGAAGTTTCCTAGTGAGTGTTTTTGTTGCTCCTCTGTTTTGTGTCGAATGTCTTACGGTTACTTTGATTTTACATCCTCTCAGTGCTCTTCAGGTGTTTTTGCTGGAAACAGTCTTCCTCTTGCACCTAATTGATTTGATTTCCAAGGGTTTAGCACTTTATGTGTGACATCGCTTAATCGTACATTTTCTTATTATGCTGTGGTTCTTGACACCCGATTTTTACACCTCAACATCAAATCTTATTGATTTTTTATAGAAACTCACTGGCGAATTTTTTAGATTGGTGACTACCTTGATGTTAGTACCTTACTTAGTTTGGGTTTGTTTACCTTTCTAACGCATGTAACAGTAATACTTTGCCTTAAGAATGATTATACCTCTTGGCAAAGTACGTTTCATTTGTCTGCCGTGTTTCTTTGGACCCATTTTATTTCTGCTTTAATCCCAACAGCAATATTTTTGGGAACGTGGCATTGTGATACTTCTTCGGTAATGGCTCACCTGTGTTAAGGTGGTTTTTGTGCGATTACTTTTTCTAAGCTGGTCCGTTTTTTGGGTATCTTGGCCCTTACTTTTCCTAACTTTGAGTTTCTAACCTCATCTTATTCTCTTTCAACGTTGGTATTTACTTGTTAGATGTGATTGAAACCCGGTTACTGTCCTTTTTGTAATTGTCTCTCATTTATAGGGCATTTGACTTTGGCAATTGCTGCTTATTTGTTTATAAAAAAGAGATTTGGTTTTAATGCGATTAATTTGAAGTACCCACGCATTGTTCATCATGCGATAGCTTGGCTGTTGCTGTCCACCTCTACGAAATTGGTTTAGCGTAGGTTTTGTTCGATATGAGGTTATTATGTCATGTTAGACTTAATTAAGATTTTTCCATTTTTATTTTTTCTATAAGAGTTTTCTACAAGTTCCCCGAGTTGGTCAGAATTGCCATTTAAGTTTTACCCACCTCTGAGCAAAGTACTTGCGTTTTATCTAATCAAATGAAAAGGTTCTAGATTTTAACTTCATTTGAATGGCTTTCTCGTCATCAACATTTCACGTTTGCACTTATATAAGCAGGATTTTTTAAGAAAGAAAGTATCTGACTGAAATAGTCACCTTTTTTTAACGTACATTGTTTTATGCCTGTGTAAGTGCTCCAGCTGCGTATTTTTTGTTCATTCGGCCCGTCCAACCAAAATTAACGCTGGTACTTAGTTCTTACCATTTTTCCTCCTAATTATACCATTCAGCACTTGATGGGATTCATTCGCTGTACTTGCGCACTTTATTCAATAATTTTATAGATAGGCACTATTTGAGTCTGCAGTTTGGAAGCATTACTGCCACTCTCCGACCTCGAATTCGGGCATGGTGTAATGCTTTTACTGGAGAATCCAAAATCAGGTTCTTTTATGTATCCCTACTCGTCTGCTGCGCCCTCAAATCCCCCTGTGGTGGTCACACCCGATTCCGATTCCACGAGTGCCATGCTCTTGCCAGGACAGCCGCAGTCGCCTACTGCGATGCTCTATTCTCCACCAGCTTATGCCTCTGGGCCTTCCCAACAAAAACAAGCCTATCTCAACAATAGCGGTGGCAATGGCGCCACTGGCCCTGCGGCCAACAGCGGTGTCAATCCCAGCACTACTAATAATGGTGCTATGTTGGATATAATGTCTCACTCCTTGATGCAGTCCCCGAGCACTCAACAGGCCAATAGCAACACCGGAAGCTTCTATTGTTGGCCCCCTCCTCCCGGTACGGGTGCACCTGCCTCCAATGTGGCCACTGCACGACTGCCCCACCTAACCCAGAGAAGAGGAGGTGGTGGTGGTGCAGCCTACAGGATCTCCTCCCAGAACCCCCCTTCCGACTTCTCTCACGCCCAGTACTATTTCCGACAGCAGCAGCAGCAACTGGCTCCGCATAAGGCGGCTAGTGAGACCGGTGGCTACGGCTGTGTTCCCAGTAAGCTCATGGGAAGTGGAACTTCCGCTACCACCACCAGTGGCAGTAGCAGCAGCAATAATTGGAAGGAACGACCACATGTGGGGAAGTATAGCCTGATCCGCACCATAGGCAAAGGCAACTTTGCCAAGGTCAAGCTAGCCCAGCATGTGACAACGGGCATGGAGGTAAGCAATCCTCTTTTTATACAGGTAGACCAGTGTCTAACAGCTTTCCCAGGTTAGTTTCTACTCTAGAAGTAAGGTTTTGTATGAGGAGAATGAGAAGGAGAAAGCAAATAATTGGCAAACAGGCGTAATAGTGTATGTATGTGCCTTTGCGCAATTAAGTCCTTTTGCGTACCCATCCCCTTCTTCGTTTTCGCCTTTTGTGCTACTCATTCATTTATTCGGAGAGTAAATGCAGGTTTGACTCAATTTCAGCAGAAGCTTGCCGTAAACGGACCTCTGCAAAAGCTTAGAGACAGTAATGGTGGGTGAGGAAAGCGGCACACCATCAACGGAAAATGTGGCGAATCTCAGAGCTTATGTGCGAACGTTTAGAACCGCGCCTTTGCAAAGTTTCACTTGGGTTCAAAGTCCTCATAAGCATCAGATTGTTAATAATTAAATCGTTGCACCGTATGAATGTGTGTTATCAGTTTTCTTATGATTTAATATTGCGTACTTTTTCACATCTCTCAAGTTCCAGTCTTTATAAATTTGCGCAATTTTGCTTGCTGATATCGAGTCATTTCTTTTGAAAGTGAAGTTTGGTTGTGAATCTAATTTGATATGGCTCTTTTCTGCGCTTTCTCAGACTCTTTATCATACTTTTATGAGCCTTATTTTTTCTGCGATGATATGGGGAATTTTATGTTCAATTTTTACATGTTTCGTCTTTACGAAACAGTCCCAGCTCCACCGTTTACATATTTGTCAGCTCAAGTTTTCGGCCATTGTGCTTCGGTACCGTGTATTTTTACATGGCAGAGAGTGGGGAATTTTGGTGTTTGCGTACTTCATAACCATCGCTTTAACTGCTCCCTTTGACTAACCTTTGTTTTCGTTAGCTTCAGGTTGTCTGCTGATTGCCAAATTATTTATCTTGGCCACCTACTTTGAACCATTTATCAGATCTCAAGCTATAATAGATTCCCATAGTACATCAATTAAATGTAAAATGTTTTTTTAATAATTTGGGTTTTTCTTTTTCCATTCAACTTCCTTGGTGTGCATAAAAATGTTCAAAAGCTGTGGCACCTCTATCGGCTAATTTCCTTTTTCCCACTTTAGTTGTATCTTGTCTTAAAACTGTCCACTCAAGGGAAGGAGTTGAAGTGATTGATGCGTTTCCGCAGTAGTCACTGATAGGTGTGGATGGATAGACTCATACGTCTCCGGACTCTGTTGTCAAATTTCAATTGAGTGTTCTCGAGCTAACCATTTTGCTCCACCTTTTTATGTTTAAAAGTGGATCTCAATATTCTCAAATGTTAAGTAATGCACTCAACATATTAAATATAGCCCAATCAAACTGTTGAATGAGGGGCTCGTTAAATCGTGTTATTGGTTCTCGTTAGTCAAAGTACCCCTTTCTCACCGCAGCGAACCTCCCAATGGTCATTTCAATTTTCAAGGCATTATTTAAATTTCTTTCCGCGTACTTTCTACATGACTCAATTTGAATTTCATTTACGTGTAAAAAATCTTTCTCAAACGATCACTGCTACGCAAAAAAATTTGCAGTAGAGCCAGTACAATCAAATGAATACAGAGCTCGGGTTTTCTTAGGTAATCAAAGGCATAAACAACCGTCGGTAAAGATTGAGCGTTCGAGAGCGGATTTGTTGTTTTCTTTCCCAAAGTACTGTCTGATATTAAGAGTGGTAATTCCTGTGCAGAGTTTAGGCATTCCAAGGGAGTTCGTGACGCGTAAGGCCAGCAAAATGTGAAAAGTGGGAAGCATTGGCGAAGCAAAAATTCTGCGCGTTGTTATATCACCTAGTCGCAGATAGGCGCACCGAACGTCGATTGAATTCATCTTCACTTTGCAAAAAGGTTAATACCGACGTCTTTCACTCATTACCTCTTCCTTGGGGGCTTGTCTTTTCGCCTCCTGACAGCGAAAATACTTTAGCCTTAAGGCTTTCCATTGATTCCAGAAGAAAAACCTGGTTTGCTGTTTACTGCAGAATGGTTTAGATGGAGTCAGCTTTAACCATTTTTCCCTTGCCATGGGTAAGCTCTGCAGAAATTCTGCAAGCACTGGCTTACACGGCTTATGCCCCTCAACGTAGACATTGATCTCTTACACACGGCATGCGGGTGGTGTGACAGTAGTTTTATGTTGTGTATGCACGAACGTGTTAACTCCACCTACGAAATGCATGCTTTAACTTAAGAGCACGTAATGGTTTGTGTCATCTGATCGTGTTCATTTTTCGGTCATTACATGCACTGTTATGTGAGGCTGTTGGTAGTAATTGAAGTCTTGCGTCTGATCCGCACCCAACTGTGGCTCACTTGCTTGTAAAGAATACCCATCCGAAATAGACAGCTTCACGTGGCTTCATGCCCTTCCCCAGTTTATTTCACATAGATTCACCCTGACTCGTTATCCTCTTTCATGTTCCCGACTGCTAGTGCCTTGGTCACACTAAATGCCTGTTTTCGTGTCAAGCTTCTGGATGTGGAGATCTGTCTGCGTCTAGGTCTAGGCCTACTTGAATTCTCCTCTTATTATAGATTCGTGGCTAGCTGGTGTTTAAAAGTATTGCATTTTTAAGCCAGATCGCTCGTAAACTTTGGTTCTCTTAATTCAAAAAATCGTAGGTTTGATTAGAAGCGAATCGGATGTTGACTAAACGTATTTCCTACTCTACTTGGGCTTCAAATGCTATCATTTTGCCGTAGTATTTTGTAGTGATTGTACTAAATATCACCTGTTTTCAGCCTTCTGTTTATTTTGAATTCAATTTTAAGAAATTCTAATTATATGTTTGTAGGAAGTAGGAAGACATTTATTCCGACTTCTCTCTATTTGGCTTCTAAGTAGAATTCAACAATAGTTGCTACCTCAAAACAGCAAGAGAAGTTTGTGCGTGCCTTTGTAAACCTCCATTCTAATAGACTTTTTCGACCAGTGCTCTTCGTGATTCCACACCTTGTTTATGCTTCATTGTTATCGTTATAAAGTCGACCTACCTTCCACCCTTGAAGTCATCAATGCCGTGGATTGTGGTCACGGCATTACCCGATTGGGGTGAGGCAAGGCAATTCGATAGCTGCTGGCGTCCCTCTCTTAACTTTTATCCAAAGATAACCCAAACATCTCCTTTAGTCATCTTGCCTTGGGGCTAAGAGGTGCTGTCCCGCGTTGCGTAGGGGTGCAGCAAATCACATTAACGTGCCAAAAATTGCCCTCATCTGTGTTTATCCCCAAGCCTCAGACCACTCCATGCGTGACTCGTCTCGCCTCTTTTGCCGTTTCACATGCCTAGTCAAATCGAAACTACATTGTGGCTTTTTTTTCTAGCCTCAAGTCGGCTCTTTTTGGTCCCTCATGCATGTTATGCAAGAGGGTATCCCCCGCTGCTTTTCTCAAGTATGGCGATTTACTATTGTGCCTTTTAGGTCCCATTAAACTGAAGTGCGTGCTGTCCTGTCGTGGTGGTAGCTCACCCTTTGTCTTCGCTGTAGGCTACACTCCAGGCGCTGTCGTTTTTTTCACTTCGTTCTCATGCAACACCCACTTCACGCATCGTTTGATGTCACATTCACCTCTATTGCAATTCCTCCAGTTATTATTTGTCTCAATCAACTATTTCTACCTCGTAGTCATCGCTGTTCTTTCAACCTCTTAGAGGACGTATTATGCATTGGCGAATCCGAGGTTTTTATGTCTGATGCGCCCTGTTTTTGTGAGCGTAGTTTGCATGCATAGAAACGAGCCGACTTCACTTTGCAGGAGCGTTGCCGTTTTTATGACCTGTATGAGTTTAAAATGATCGTAAATCCTAAAACCTGAATATCTCATCTCCCTCGCTGGATACTTTCGGCGATCTTAAGCACGTTTTTTGCTATCAATACAGTCGCTCTATTTATGAATAGCCTTATGGCCCTATAAGGGCGCAACTTTTCCATCCAACAGCGCATCCTATTGTTAACTCGTGGAAATTAATTTATTTTCTTTGCAGGTCGCCGTCAAAGTTATAGACAAGACACAGCTGAATCCGACGAGCCTAAGAAAGGTTAGTCTTGTTCCTTCCTTTGGAGCCAATTAATTTGATAAATGGTTTGTTGCGGGAGTGTTATCTGATGCTTAATTTTCTGCTTAAGTGTCGTTGCTCTTTTGATTTTGAAAATACGTTGTTTTTGTGAAATAATAAGCAAACAAACCGCGCGAGTACAGGGCTCTTCCAGTTGCAGATCGCTGCCAAATCATGCTGACGAATGCGCTGTGCGATTGCGTTATGCTGCAACTGTAATGGGGCACCTCACATGTGTTTCCCCTTTGATGAGCTCCCAAATGATTAGAAAAAAAAACAGTGTGGTTTGGTGCTGTCGCTTCACTTATTTATTCGGCCATCTCCGTGTTAGATAAACGGAATGGTGGTGAGCATTTGCAGACCTTGTTCCTTTCCGTTCACCGTGGAAATTAACCCTTTTTCCCTCAAAATATCCTTCTTTTTCTTATCTTAAGAATTGTGTTCTGCGTAGGTGTCTACCTGCAATGTAGTGTTTGTCACAATTACCCACTTGTTGGGACTCTTAGACATATGGTATCACTTCCTCTTTTATTTTTTCTTTCCGTCATTGCTAAGGAAATCTTTCCCTCCTAAGCTATCTACCACCCCGACAATCTTAATTGCAGTTGCAGTTAGGGTAGGATTCACAAACCTGGCGTTGTTTATGCCATAACCTCATTTAAGTTTGGTTGATTGGTTGGTGGCAAAATTAAATCAGTTGGCATGACATTTTGTCCCTTTTTAAGCATTCTTTGCAACTGAGGCATTAAGTTTTACGCTGCAGGTTGCTTCAAGCCGATACCCTTTATGAGCAGACGCGTTCATTTAAACTGGTGCCTAATTATAGACCAGAGGATTACTTTGAGGCATTCAACATCGCCTATTCTTTCCCCTTCCATACATTTTGCCATGGTTCCTATTATTGCCCTTTTGGTGCGTTCGTAGTCCTTTTTAGCTAGCCTTGCTATACCACCTCACGACACTTGATGTGTCATTTTGCGCTACTGCAAAGCGTTCTGATCACTCATGTGACTCTTATGGAGTCCTCTTGCTATTTATCTACCTTATTTGGGGTGCGTTGGACTCTTGACTGTAGTGAATAACAGCATCTCTGTCGTTGAATTTTGCTTATATTTGATGCGTATCCGTAGCTTGAAAACCATTGCAGACTTTATAGCACTCCTTAAATGGAAGGAAATAACCCGGGTAAGAATAAACTCTTAAGAAATTATCTTTCCAGCTTGATATACTTAGGCGATTTTAGTGGAAACCTTGAAATGGGACAACGATAGAACGTTTATAAAATTACGAAAAAAGTTCAGAACGTAGGGGATGATAATATGGGAAATGGAAAAAAAGTGGCCAGCTAAATAACCTCAACAGAATGTGTAGTTTGCGACGGTATTGTAAATGTTCGCGGACGACGCCTGAACCCGCCCGCTCGCGTGCGTGCGTACGTGTGCGCGTGGTTACCCCACTGGCGGCGGATGATGAACAACCTTCGTGCGATCCCTGCTGCCGACTCGATGAAATGCGCATCCCCTGTTGCTCTTGTGTGGTTCGGCGCGTGCGTGGGTGTGTTTGCGTGTGTATCTATGCTTGACTCACTTCTGCCGTGGTGAATTAGCCACTCCCTTCCCCCCTTAATTACTTCAGCAAAAATTATTTGCGTAAGGAGACTTGGAGGAGTGCTCCCCATGCGCCGCAATGCCAGTGGCTACTTAGGCGCATTCTCTTCTCTCTTTCAGCTCTTCCGGGAAGTACGGATAATGAAGACCTTGGACCATCCCAATATTAGTGAGTCACCTCTTTCCCTTCTCATTGCTGAAGTTGGGTTTTATCACTTCTCTCCACACTTTCTCCTCGTCTGGAGTCTCACAGGTCGACTTCAAAATCTACTCCACTTTTAAATCATTAACCTAAATAACTACTACCCCTTCCATTACTGCACTCCTGAGAAGAAAGTTATTCTCATTTCCCATATTCTTACATAGTTTCCTGTGAATGTTTGTGTTGAAGAACCTAGTTCATTACTCACATTCGAAAGTCGTAAAGAGCAGGTTATATTAGCTCTTACACGATCACCCATGTTGCATTCCGGTGTTTTATTCCTTACTTCCCTTTGTACCCTTTGTATCCTCCCACGTAAATTCCACTAGGTCACTTGTTTAACTAAGCAACGTGTTCAAGTCTTTCATAAGGTGTTAGCAATGTGGGTTTTTATTAATTTTGCGATTTATTTGCCATCTGCTTAACCCGCCGAACATGTGGGTCATCCACGATTCTCTGCCTGCTGCTCTACCCTCATCGCCGTAAAAACGCAATACATTGAGTGTGTACTTCATTACTAAACTCCGCACCAAATAGTGCCAACATTGCATCTGTAACCCGACGCCCCCAGCTACCGTCTTCTGGCCAAATATTTGTGCACTTACTTGAAACTCGGAAATGCATACTACAAACTCGCCCCATCTTTACTGTTCATTGGTGCTGTGCTCGTAAACAAAGTTTGTGGTACAGTGCTCTTCCTCCTCCGGGTGTAGTTGTTTATCCATCACAATTGCATCCCTCGATCAGGCGATGTTTATCTTTTTACCGAATCTCCCCTCGATTGCACTGCTAACTCTCCCTGTACAACGAATCCACCCCTAGCTAGTTATACATGCAGGCATGCATGCATTGTGATCCTCCTACAAAAATTCACTGTCCGTTCTCGCTTTGGCTGGCAGCTGTTGCAAGTCTTGTGGGCTTTTGAAGATTCCTTTCCTTCTTCGCCTTTCGCTGCAATGTAGTCGATTCGCATTGGGTTTATTCTGTACAAATACATTGCAGCTTTAAGGGAGACATTTGTCGAATTCAAATGCACATCAGGGAATTCACCCTTGGCAGTAGCCGTAATGGAATGCACGAGATCCCATTTCGGGCATTCCTGAATTTCGGCCATAATGCCTTATTCAGACCGTTTTAAGTATTGGTGCTATTAAACTCATAAAAAAGACAGCTTTCTGCAACGTCGCATGTCTCTATCCTACATGCTCTGCGTAATGCGAGTCTACGCCTTACCTCCAACCTCAGTGTGTTAAATCGGACCTTTTGTGGGTGGAAATTGAGCTCGCACTAATCGGTGCTTCCCACTTCATGGCCGGGAGTCTGCTCTCGTTGATGCCTCGAAACACGGAATTTACAAATTTGATGTTTTTGCTTATTTTTTTCCACTGTTTTTGTCGTCCTTACTTCTTTTAACTTCACCACTTTTTCTCATTGTCTTTATCGCACTTTTGATCACTTGATCGGATTCATTTCCTTTTTAAATGGTAATAATAATTGTAGTTCAAACTCAGCATCTGTTCCTACTTGTTCAAAGCTGTTCATTTTAATCGTTGTAGGCTAAATCTTGGCGTATTTTATGCTGATGCGATCAAATAAATCCCATCATCTTCACCTTTTTTTAAACTCTTACCATTGGATGTTTACCAACTTTGAATTGTTTTTCTCACGTCTTTGTTTTACGGGCCTGCAGTCATCACGTCGTTGGTCCGTCGCGCTGGTTCTTGAATACTTGGCTCGGTTGGATTTGTAACTACCTTCAGTTCCCTCCACACATTGGGCTTATTGTCTAGTACAGATTTCCTAACATACGTCACTAATTCTCATGGTAAAACAAAAAAAAACATTATAAAGCGAATGCTTGATATTCTATGAACTGCTTTTCCTGTTGTGTATTTATAATTCGAATTCCTTTGCCAACACGCCTCAGTTGTGTGCGTGTGTGTGTCACCTCACCTCCTCGGAGGAAATGTCCAAATACATACAGCTGCTGCCTGAATCGCGTTCACCGGCATAAATTCATTCCTTTTTCTTACTGGGAAAAGAAAGTGTCTTCGTTCGTGGCCAGAGCTTCGATCCTTGTCACTGTGCTGCGTGTATTTATGCATTCGCGCACAAATTGGACTGGCGATTTTCCGTGTGCAAGCGTCTTCGTTATGCAGAGTAGCTACGTACCCGAAATTCCTTTTGTCCAGCTACCATGGACGGTTTTTCAATTAATTGGAAATTGTTTTAAAAAATAAAACATTTGCATCTACTCTGTTTTTTCATCGATGGTCAAGGAATGACTCGATCGCACACTTATGAAATCCGGTACTTTCTAGATGCGGTTAGCACAGCTGTTCGATTGGCAAGCGCGATCTGGCCTATGTGGTCGAAATCTTGAACCCGTTTTTTTTCTTTTTTTTGCATACCGCATATATCTCTTAGCTTGGTTTTTCATGGTTTCTGAGGCTCCAACATCATTCTTCCTTCTTACCCTGAGTCTTATAGCTCTTCCATCAATTGACATCTCATATCACCTCTTCATTGGCGTACATTGTCAAATTGTTTTCTTCCATGGTCTTTGACTGGCTATAGACTTGTTGCATCACTTTGGCCTTTTCTTTCTGCCAAAATATGCCGCCATCTCGTCATTAAGTGCAGTGCTTGCGAAGTTTCCAATTTCTATTTCTAACACCGCAGTTGAACTGACCACAGCCAAGTACACAATCACGATTAATCTTGACCCGAAGTGAGCACTAAAAAAAGAACTCCTTTTACGGTATAAGAGTACACATGTGCCCCTTGTTTGTCGGTGAGTATCGCCGAATAGAGGGACTGAAACCTGTACTTCCCCTCTCGGCCTCCTTCTCTGAGGTAGTACGGATGGCAGGAGAGCGACTTAGTTATGCGAGAGGAGGCCTCCACTCCCCTCTACCTAGTGTTGGAGATTCATTAGGAAATCATACCTCTTCCGGATAGCCGCCGTAGTTTCCCCGTGTGTGAAGCGTGATTTACGTGCTGTTTTCAAGACATCCCAGCCTTTTCGCCACTGCTCACCCTCCTGCCTACATGCATCCATGTGGGTCTGTGTTCAGCCCGGTTAGTTTTTCTCAGGCCTAAAAGCAAGGTCGAGGGTGCTCCTTGACTGGAAGTTAACTTCAGTCTCCTTCGCGCACCCCTTTTATTTTTTTACACAGCAAAATATTAATGGTCTCCTTCGGAACCTATGGGCTCTGTTTAACAGATCGCAGATGGCTAAATCGCAATTTTTGACTCTCATTGTAAAACAGAAATACAAGTGTCATCTTATTTCTCACAAAACAAAAACATTTTTGGATTGATGCAAGTGTGCTATCATCCTGTCACTTGCACTGAGCATCACCCGGTCTAAAATTTGTGTGCTTAGAATATCTCTGGTCAGGAAGAGGATGTTGGTAGTGTTTGAACGTTTGTATTGTGGCTTACAGTTTCTCAATTCGCCTTCAAATTCATTATCAATATTTACTAACATTCCTCTCCTCTTTTCCTTCAGTCAAACTTCTAGAGGTCATCGAGTCGGAGAAGCACCTGTACCTTGTCATGGAGTATGCTAGCAACGGTGAGTTGTTTATACCTTATAAACTGTATTTTTCTTTTAACCCAAAACCCAACTTTTATTATTTTTGTTATTTAGCTATTTTGTAATTGTAATAAACCACAAATGATTTGATGTTTCAGTTTATTTTCCGACAAGAATGTATCATGTCTCAAAACCGAAACCAGTTCCACTCTCCGCTTTCGATTCATAAATATTTTATTACAAGCTAGGCTCCTTTTACCCAAATCCCCTGTAGTTTTCTCTCCTCTAAATCTTCCGTGCTTAATGAGAGTGTTTACGTGTCCTTCAAGTTATTGTTTCATTTTTTATGTACAAGCGGGACACCACAAAATTGCGTTTGATAGACAGTTTCTTGTTTGAATCTCATACACAGGGTATTTCATTGTTTCTGAAAGGTTAATGCTTAAATCGCGATAGCTCAAGTGTAAATATCGCTAAATGTGGTGACATTTTAAAGTTCAAGCCGTGAGCCGAAAGTTGATGAAGCGGTGTTGATTGGTGAAGGGGCTAACGACTGTCCCTCTCACTGGAAAACTAAGTCACGCGAAGGAGAGGCAAATGGAACTTTAAAATTACACCATTTTAAACGAACTCCGCGTTAGTAGTTGCGTGAATGTGGGGTAGAAGGCGTTATCTATCATTGTCTCTGGTTTTTGTTAACTTGTATTCCGTAAAACATTAGTTTTCATTCACTTGTGCCCTTAAGACCATGCTGCTTACTTGGTCCCCTCGCCACAGCTAGATTTTAGGCTATTCCTGCCGTTCCAACACACTCGAATATATCCTCACGATCATCGCTTTCGCACAAACGCAGAGATCTGGCTCTCTCCACCTAAGTCAGTATATTTGTACGCCGTTTACCGACTTATTGTCTCCATGATTATGTATGCAATCATATCAGCAATCAATCAGCACGCCGATCTTCACCCATACAATCACGCATTGTAGCATCCTATTCAAGCAATATCGACTCTCTATCACATCTAACTTGTGTTGTTTCGTTTGTCTGTGGCCTGCTTTGATTATTAATGGTTTCGTTCACTTCTCACTAATGCTTTTTTCATCTTTCTATGGTTGTTGAGTACCCTTGTTGATTGTTTATCTCTGGGCCGAACTATATGGAGATTAAGAGTTTCAAGGACTTTTTTCGGTGTTAAACTTGCCTCTAAGTTTATCTTTCCCCAAATTTTCTTTTGAATGCACGAGGGATATTCTTCTAACATTTGTGGTAAAACCTCTACAGAGTTGTATGGTTGTAGCTGTTATCACCATTTGTCTGCATCGTTGACCAGACGCCTTTGCGAATGCGTTATTTTCCAATGGATGTATATCCTTGCTGAGTACTTACATCGGTGTCTGCGGCGTTTAGGTCTCCCTAATCATTCTGGAATCAATTCTTATGCGTTCGATCAAAATAATGAGCGAAGATTGGTCTTGGTGTGGTGACTGATCATGGCTTTCCCATTACTTTTTAATTAGGACTGTTTTTGCTTTTGTCTTAGCACCTATTTATTATCTGCAGCAGGCGTGTGTGTATGTGTGTGCGCACGTAGTTTACAAGCGGTAGTAGAATGTCACGTCTTTGTGTGGAGTGAATGTGGAATAATTGGCTGCTACTGCTGCTACTATCAATACTAACACAGCTTCTCACTCTCCTAAACAGAGTACCTTATCTTTTCCCTCTATGGGGAAAACACACCAACGTGTCACACGTGAGATCACATCGTATGTCCGGATTTGGGTGACTGGTGGGGACAATTTTCCTTATTACCCCTTCTTCCTCCTCTCCTGTGCCGCGAGCTACCACAGCAGTCCATCTTGTGGCAGGTGCCAGGCATCACGTCGCGAAAGCTTCTTTGTCCGACGTTCGCAGACGTGCACGCACCCACGCAAGCGTGTACACACATCAATCCTGTTTGTACGTGTGCACGTGCGCACACGCGTGCCCGTGCTGGCCTCCGATCGATTGATTGGTTTCTGGTGCTGATTGGCTCTCCCCCCGTCCAACACGCTTGAAAACGCGCCTATAAAGCTGCGACTCAGGAGGGCACTGAATGGTGTAGTGTCCTTTGTTACACGTTGTCGGTGATGTCGTCTCTCCCTCCTCGAATGCACACCTAGCCTCTGTTTAAGTGGTTCTTTGAAAATTCTAACTACAAGCCTTCACTTCAGACATCGATCCGTAAATTGAAGTTATGGTGCGTAATTTTGAACTCCTAACGCTAAGGTAGGCCCGCCATTCAACCGTTCATGTCTTTCGATATCACCATTGCATTTATTTGTAGAATGCTATAAATAGATTATTACCGTGGACAGTACCTTCCTGTGTGTAATTTTATTTGCTATCACCTGCTAACTTTTATGGCTTCATGTGAAGCACAAGGTACTTAAGCGACGGGCACTTGAGTCATATTACCACCAACATATGCTGAAATGGCTTACTAAGCAATCGGAGTATTACACCAAATCTAGCAATGATGTGAATTAGTAACACGTGTTAACTGTGCCCTTCGACCTGACGTAAATAAATTTTCAGGTTTGCTAATGCCTCATTTAGAGTTACTACCTGAATCTGACAATGAGTCTTGCAGTCAGAAATGCTTTAGTCCTGCTTGTGCGCATGCCAGGGGACCGAGATTGCACTTATGTAACGTTATTCCTCTCACTTTCCTGAGTTCGTTTATTTCGAAGGACTGATTCGACCGATTGCATAAGATCCACCACTTTCGACTGACTTCCTTATAATGAAGCAACTTCACACGCTTAACAAAAGCCTTTTTGTTGATTCATGAAATATTGCAATCGCATCATGTATACGATTGTCCGCTACTTGAATCTTGTCCTCCAATTTAGATACGAATTTTTTCATGAAAGTATTTCAACACAAGACTCGTGTATTGAAAACATCCCAAGTTATCCGGCTTGGGTTTCAAACAAGACTCATTTTCGTAGCTTTATTTATGGAATAAAGGTATTTTCACGGAACTAGGGTCTAACAGTTCTCCCCATCTGAAGGCACTTTTTCAGATTAAGGTTACCTCCTGTAGATCTATTCAAAGCCAGGTCGATTCTAGCAAATAAATGCCGGTCGAACACCTAAATATTTAAGGGTATTTCCGACAACTTGACCTCATCCGACCTTATGTTTTTACGTATGTTTTAAAGGCTATTGCCCCGCTCCTGCGTTTTTGTCTGGTTCATCTATCTACCTAGCTTTTTTTGTAAATAAATACACTTCCTCAGCTCTTTTTATAATTTGTAATCTGACGGTGTGTGTGTGTGTATGTACATATTTGTTCTTATGTGGCTTTTTAAATAAGTTTATATCTAGCCCCTTCCGACGTTAACATTCAACGCCAGTCAAGTGTAGTCTTCGTGGCATTTGCCTCTCTCTGCTTACTTTGGGTGACGGTGAACGCCGATTGCTGCCTAATTCAGTCTCGTCAGGCAGATTCGGATGGATCTTCTTTTGCTCTTTATTATTCAGCCACTACAGCCCTCTCAATATCCACGACTTCATTTGCATGTCTCACACTTCGTTCTGCCGTGCTCATCGATTCGTTGAACCAAAAGGAATGATAGGCAAGGTTCTCATGAGCGAGCTTGCACAGTAGAATCCTCCTCGTCGTTGCAGACCACTGACACGAAAAATGCGGGGTTGGGCTTTAGGAGTCGGTAAAAATTGCACCTTTGCCATTTCGTGTTTTATGTGAGGTTGATGGCAATTTCCTCGCATTGCATTTGCACCAATAGCTCTCACCAATTTCACACCTGCGTTCCATAAAATTTGGCCAACGTTCACACAGTTTTTGGTTAGGTAAAATTCCAGTTTTGTGGTAGCTTCGTGTCTGTGTGTGTGTGTATGTGCATTGTAAACAAATCCTTCCCTCCAATCAAGTGGGTTCTCTACGCCAGGCTTGTCTCACACATCGCTATCTTCTCCCATTAATTACATTGGACATGTTCCCTTTTCGCTCCGTTCCAGACAAGCTGACGGATCAGGCTTATGCTGTGCGCGTGCGTATGACCCCTGTTGTACCCCCTTTATTGCCGATCTTGACTTCTACGAAAGATCTTGCTTGCATAAAAAGCGCTTCATAATATACCCGCTTCTTCGGCTGACTTCTGGCCTATTTAATCAGGCTTATTCGTAGTCACGATGTTTGGAGTTCAAGTACTAATCCTGGCACAGCATTTTTCGCCATGGTGCGTCAGTTGAGGTCACCATTGACATAATCTTCAACAGCGGTAGCAGTAGTGGCACCGTTACTGACCTTAAATGCGCCATTTGTGTCTCTTTTCTTTTCTTATCTGTCCTGATGCGGCCTTCAACCTACACACACACACTCACACACACAGTTGCCATCTTGTTAGCGTTGGTTCACAACTCGAGTGAATCTTTTGATTTGGCTTCTTCTTCGAAGTAGCACCTGCAACCTCGCCGCACACTTGCGCCACATTCTTCTTCTGTAATTACTTACCCATCAGATTTCCATTATCTCTAAAATCTCTTTAAAATGTGCAATGCACTCATTTAATTTAGGCGTTGCACATTGTGCGGAAATTTTACGTTAGGAACCCAAAGCTCACGTAAATAAGGTAGCAATTTCGAGTCTTCGTTGAAGTAATCGCTGCTTAATTCACGTGACTGCTGTTAACCTCTCTTTCGGCAATGGCGGCTTTGGGGATTTACTCGCTCACCAAAACCTCCTTATTCGACACGTTAAGGTTGTCACTCCTGTATAAATTACATCAATTATGATTTCTTTCACAATAGGATCTCTTTTCGACGTAGTGGAAAAGCAATTTAGCCTTCGCCCCCGCTGCATTTACCCCTCCTATCGTGTGTGATCCAGCGTGTTTGTGTATTTTGTGGTTTTGGTAGCATTCACCCTCACCGACATTTTGCAGACCTCTAGACGAAAACATGTTATGATGGTTACTGCTATCAGTCTTATTTATCAAAGGAGGCGAGAATTTCTGTGTGCCCCGTCCAATACACATAAATCACAGTTGTATCTGACGTAAATTCCATGGCTGTTTTGAGTGGCGCTTTCGCATAAACACATTGGCAAGTAAAGAACGCAGGGAACTGAGGGCAAATCAAAACCATCGGGCTAGCACTTTGACATACCTGAAGTTGGGGATCAAAGCACCCGGGTGAGATTCACCATTGGTGAAAGATGAAAGGCAATACATTTGCTTATTTGCCGTTAGTCAATTGCTCTAGTAGATAGTAGTGTTGATGTTGGCCGGAGTATATTGTCGGTTTGTTTTTTTTTTTTCACGAAAAGGACATCGCGCACTTTCGAGGTTCTGACTAAACTGAGAGACGATGTAGTCAGCAGGTTTTGTTGATCTGTTGAAATCGCGTTCACCTCGCCAGGCATTCAGTTCAACGTGTGACTGTTGAGCGCAACAACTTAGGTAGACGAAACTATGATTTGTCACATCGACTGTGACTAATTGCCCAGCGGCCCACACATCTCTCTTTCAAAGTACACACAGCAATTGTGGCACTTGGCGCAGATAATAATTTCGAGTACCATTGACGAAACGATGACAAGATATGAAATTCTTCGAGGTGTGGGAACCGTGTTATCGCTGAAGCTCTTACAAAACGCAGTCATTTGGCAGTGTTTGTTATCGATGTACAGAAGCGCTGGAAGACTGCCACAGACAGAATGAGCGGAACATTATTAAGCCATTGTGGTAGCCAGATCGCGGAGATCAAAAAAGGGCGGTATATTCTAATATGCGATCACAACTACCACTCTTCTCTCACAAAAGTACAGACGATACTGGCTTTAACTGCTTTTCTCCTGTCTTATTTACAGGCGAGGTGTTCGACTATCTCGTTACCCACGGAAAAATGAAGGAGAAGGATGCACGGATAAAGTTTCGTCAGATTGTCTCTGCTGTACAATACTGCCATGCTAAAAACATTGTACATCGTGATCTCAAGGTAATTTCCTTTCTATGGGAAAAGTGAACTTTTTCTTACGGAAAGTTACCAACATGGATCACAAGTGTTGACCGTTACTTTACAGACAGCCTGGGTTCATATCATGCATTACACTCTTTCGTAGCATTATTTATTCATCCGTTAATCCGTTACCACTTTGAATGGGTTCGCTTGGGGTGACTCCTTTTGAGACAAGGGCGCGAGTTTCTCCGCCATAACCTTACCTCACTAATGTCCGTCAGTTTTGTGCAGTACTCGTCGTGCATTTCTTCTAGCGTAGTAAACTGCTCTGGTATCCCTGGGTTTCCCCAATTCGCGGGCGTCAAAGGTCTGCGCTTACAATAACATACAGCCCTCTTTTTTTCGACTTCAAATTAGTGGACTAAACGGTTAGACTGCGAAGCTTGCAATCCCTCTTTCATCAAATTAAGTCGATTGTTTTTACTTTTCCAACACAAATAGTTTCTTTGTTATAATTAAATCACTTGCGCAGTCCCAAGTTCTTTTTTTGGTGGTAAAAAGACTGTTATTTTGCGCAAAATAGACCAATGCGCTCCGAGCCAACAGACGGGAGGTTGGGTGAGGTTTGGGGCTTTCGTAATGACTCTGTTCTCCGAACACTCTCCCCATTGATACGGCATCTTAACCCTGTGTTTCAGGCGGAGAATCTGTTGTTGGACGAGTCGATGAACCTGAAGATAGCGGACTTCGGGTTTTCCAACAACTACTCAGCTGGTCGAAAATTGGACACCTTCTGCGGGTCACCGCCATACGCGGCGCCGGAGCTCTTCCTTGGCCGGAAGTACGACGGCCCAGAAGTGGACGTTTGGTCTCTCGGGGTCATCCTCTACACCCTCGTCTCTGGCTCACTCCCTTTTGACGGCAAAAATCTCAAGGTTGGTACCTATCCTTATCCTGGATAGAGGAAACGTCGCCTTTCGTAATAAGCCTGGGTCAAAATTATTCCCGACGGCTTTGTAAGGTGTGCGTGTCTGGGTATCACTGATTTCCTACAGTTAGTTGTATTACCAAAGTGAGGTTTTATTTTATTTGAACACCGTAACTATTCTCATTTGACTTCTACAACTTTGTGGTCCCCTTAACACCTTCCTGACCTCCGTAAATTTCATTTTATATGCTGATCTGCAATTAATATAGAGACTTGCCTGATTCGATACAGTCGGCTGATAACACCATTCGAACGAAAACTACTTTTATCCCTTCTTCACAGGCAAAAACCAACTTCTGCGAGCTGACGAAGTGTAACAATGGGCTATCAACAAAACCAAACAAATACATCTAAGTTGTGTGTTTTGTGCAATTGTTGTGACTAAGTTTTGCGACCTGGTGGAAGGAACATTGTTACTCGCATTTGTTTTTCTCAGGCTGTTGGTTCTCTCCGCTACTTGTTGTTAGTCTCCCCACCTTTACTAGTCAACGTTGGTGAAGTGGTCGCCGTAAACAGCAGAGAATTCCTATGTAAACTATTTAAACATGCATTGAAGGTTGGTTGATAACAACGGCGATGTTATGCGGAGAGGAAAGGGCAAAGGTGCGAGAGGTCGTTGTTTCTGAAAGAGCGATTTCAGTAAATGTCAATTTGTTTGTCTTGTGGAAGTCTCTATTGAGGAATTTTGACCATCGTAATTCCGACCTTCATTGTGTGCACTTTTATCTTGCGGCGCTCCGAAAATCTCGTGCCACAAAAGACTCCCAAGGCGTATTCATTTGTAAGCTATTACTAAGAAAAGGCTCTCCATATATTATTCACTTTTGCTTCCCATGAAGGTTTAAAGCATCGTAGTTACCCCACTAACCAGTCAACCCATCTACCTCAGAGGTGCTCAAGTCAAATTTGAAGTTTGAAGTCCCTCTTAAGTATATGCTAACTTCGCGAGGGGTCCAATCGGTCGGGTGGACTGTCTGAATCACTCGACTATGAAAACTGCCGCACGAATTAACCTCCCCTCTCTCACATCGTTGCAGTCGATCTTTTTTGACATTGACACATCACCACTACTTGGCTTGTTTACGGGGTTCCAAGCTCGCTGCTGTTGCCACAGCCGTGGGGTCTTGATTCTCTCCTCTAGCTGCAGTTGTGGTGGTAGTAGTCGTCGTCATAATAAAGGGCGTCGCCGTGTACACGCGCGCCTCTTTTTCGTCCCCTCAGCCTTAGCTTGGGCGTGCGCCAACCACGCGTTGAGATGACGCATGCACGTCATCCACGCGCGTGTGCGCACACCTACGCACGAACATGATGACGTACGCAACGCGCTGCCAGAGGGGGTGGGTGGGACAAGGAGAAGAAGGGGCCTGCCAGTCAGACACCAGGGTGCGCGCTCTTGCCACTTGTCGTTTGTCCTTCCTCAAGGCAATCAGCGGCGTGTGTACGCTTGCCACATTGTGATCGTGATGTCACAGCAACGAGTTAGTTGCCTTTAGTAAAGTTACACACAAAGGCGTGCCCGCGCGCGTTTCTTCATTTACTTTGAATTTATGCGTAATTCCATGTCCTTAGTCGTGCGATGAAGCTTGTGCCATAGTAATAAAATGTCTCACTATGCGTTACCAGTACCGGCTTTGTCTCTCGCTAATTCAGATTCAATGTTCGCCGCTTAAGTGCGACTCCTCTTTCTTACCTTTATTTCCTGATGTCCTCATACATCAGTGTGATAATGCATTTATTTGTCCACCTTCAGTGATCACTGCTGATGAGAATCAATCAACGTGTCATTGTTTGTCACGTTTGCCACCGGTGTGCCTGCTCAGCGCACACCTTCTTAAAGAAAGTAGAAGAGCTAACGATGAGTGTTTGGATCTCACATTTTTTTGCTTTATAAACGAATTTACACCCCCGCAACTGCTACCACCTTGAGGGAACGCTTTCATGGTCTCACCGTTGCAGGATGTCAGTTAGTCTGATTGACTTATCTTTTCCGAGATGGGCTTGTTCCCTATTGTAGCCGTTTCCGTATCTCAAACCGTATGAATATGAGCATTCAACGATAAAAAATACAACTCGTTCCCACATGAGGTCAGGTGTTTGGTCCTGGTAGTCCCAATCTCTCAGGCCACTATGTCTGCGTGATTGTGGAAAACATGGTTATCGTTCGTCCGTCAAATTTTGATGTTTAAGAACCTACAAGTATGCTGCGACAACACAATTACAGTGCATTTAACTAAATTACGCTTTAAAATTGTGGGGCTTTGTTTATTTTTGCATAAGAAGTGCTGTATGTGCTTCTTCAACTAACTTTTTACATTCCAAAACACCTCTATTTGTTTGTCCTTTCACTGGGACCAGGGAATGGGAAAAGTAACAAACTGGCCCGCAAAATGACATTTGACTGGCATCCCGTACAGTGTGCAACTGTAGTAACAGTGGATGTTGCCCCCAATGCCTGCTAGACATTTGTTAGCTTCAGTCGACACTGTCTCACCGGTGTACCCACCGCTCAAGCTTATATGCCCTTCTGCTGAGGTGAAGTAGGCAAAAAATATGAGTTTTGTCAGGGGAACGCAATATGAAATACATTGTTCGATAGGCTCACGAATAAGTACCTCAGAGATGCTAATTCGACCTAAATGCAACTCTAACAAACGTAGCTGAACAATTGTTTAAATAAATTTCATAAAAGATGTTCCTGATTCTCCTTTCGCCGTCCCAATTGGAAGAAATTATTCGGCATACCCAGTTTAGTGGTTACTTTGGACATTGCACGAGGGAAATTCTATGCCTTAAAAGTTGAAATGGCAAGATGTACGCTCTTGGCAGGAACTGCGGGAATGTGTGCTCCGAGGCTCCTATCGTGTGCCCTTCTACATGTCTCACGAGTGCGAGATGCTACTCAGGAAGATGCTCGTTCTTAATCCGACCAAACGCGCTTCTCTGCTAGTGAGTCCTTCTTTTCACTTCACGCATAAGTTCATTGTCTTCTTCTGCTCCCATCTTAGGCCTCAAGGTGTATTTTATTTCCATCTGTAGACAAGTATGGGTCCCAATGACGGTAGCTGATTGGAAGGTGTAATGTTTTGTGAACTGGGTAATTTACCATACGCTGAGATGTCACTTTAGAACTATTCTATGCACAGGAAGGAACTTATAATTGAAGGAAAAGTTTGAACTTGATTTTGAGAGATCCAGTTCACAATCCATTTGCTAAACGGTCCTTTTTGTAGTAAAGGGCAATGTATCTTGATTATTTAAGTTCCACTAAAAATTTTAGTTGGCCCTCTCTGCAAATTTGGCGATGTGCATCGATAGCTCCTGATTGAGATGATGAAGTGCCTTTCTGCGTTCTCATGCATGCGCAGATGTCAATAGGCTCTTGAAGTTGATTCTCATATGCACCGCATTACTTTATAGGATATTATGAAGGACAAGTGGTTGAACACAACTTTCGAGGACAACATCTTGCAGCCCTTCAAGGAGGACCTCCCCAATTACAACGATCCGGAGAGAATTCGTGAGTTTACATTTCACTTCTTTTTTCCCCTCTCTTCTCAGTGCACCTCTTCCCTATCCTTCTTCCACGTAAATCGAGAATCCCGCTTTTTTATGATATGACCTAACTCCTGAGTGAACCTGATTTTGCGATCCTGCAAAGGGGGAAAAATTGCTCAACCGACTGGTGCATAGGCGATCATCCTCGCTATTTCCTGCAAACGCACTATGGTGTCCCTTACTGCAACCTCTTCGTAGGAAGATTTGCGTTTTTTTGACTCAGACGGCACTTTTTCTGGCAAACAGCATTTCGTGTTATGCTCTAGAAGATAACTACTTTTGCTTCTTTGAATTAATAGAATGGATGGTGCAGATGGGTTTCTCGCGGAGTGACATTCACGACTCTCTGATGAAGCAGCGGTTCAACAACATCACTGCTACGTACATTTTGTTGGGTCAGCGAAAAAGAAAGTCGCTACCTTGGCCTCCCACCCTGTCTGGCGTCATGCAGCCTCGAAGCCTCCCATCGGATATGCCCATGAGCGATGGGAGTGCTTCGTCATCAACAGCGGCAGGAAGCGGTCGACAACCATCTTCACAGGCTCGTCAACTAACCTCCACCACAACTTCCACCGCCGCCGCCTCCTTCCGTCGTCCTTTCCACAATCCCAGCTCACTGGCCGACGCCACCAATCGCAAGCACTCCAACGCTGATATTGACAGCAACTACGCCTCTGATGGGTATAGAAAAACTACTATTTCCGGTGCATCCACCACAGGTAGCTATCCTTCAAGCTCTGTTCTGCTTACTCATTGACACATTTACTAACCTCTCCCTTACCAATGGCTTGTAGGAGGAGGAGGAGGTCAGAGCAAGGTGACACCAACCTTGACGGCAGCCAATGCGGAAGGTGACGCTAGCATTGTAAATGCGCCTCTGGCGATAACGGATAATGACGATGTGAATAATGTCTCCATCCCGACTAACACGATAGTGACTACCACCGCGGGCACCATCGTCTCTACTACAGGAACCTTGAAGCGGCAACAAACGCGGCCAGACTCCCAACAACCAACAACTAACCTCACCACCTCTCCTGCTCCCTCACCACCCCCTCCGGAGTCGTCCTCCACTTCGAAACCGCTGAAAAACCAATTCGTGACCTTATCCACCTCTGCCAATTCTCCCAGCACCGTTAATCCTGTTGTAGGCACCTTCAAAGGTGTGTTTTTGTTTCCCTTCTGCCATCAAAGAAGAAACGAAAAAAAGTCTGTTGAAATGCTTCTTTTGGTGTTGGTTTTAGATTCGAGAAATGGTCATACAAACTCCCGTCCCAGTGCTACTTCAGCTCAGACATCAAGTCGGTATGTAGGCTCTCTCTGCAGAAGACCCATTTTTTTTACCTGTCTACATTTACGCTTTTTTTTTTCCTACGCACAGAGGTGTCCCGGCCGTTTCCAAGCATCCATCCTTCACTCACAGAAATATCCGTGAGTTTTTCCTTGCTGAAATAACACGCTACTCGACCTACAATAAGTAATAATGATTGATTGTCTGGCTGCAGTTACTGGCACCGAAGATGATTTCAACGTGCCAATTTTGGCTCCGCGGGCCTCCGACGCCGCAGTGGCTGGAGCGGAGGCATCGTTGGGCGGGCGTGTGTCAAAACGGGATGATACGACGTCCAATCCTTCGACAATCGTGGCGACGACTAGGGCGCAACCTTACGAGCTGATCAACCCTGCGGCACTTGAGTCCTCCTTGCAGAACGCCTCCGACATGGCAGGAATCAGCAGCAATACGAACCAGTCGCTGTTTTTAAGAAACCACCCTTCACTTGGATATCGGTCACTCCGGTAGGGCACTCTTCTGTTATTCACGCAATCAGTGTGAAAATCGAGGTGGTGAAAGTGTGTATTAAAGGGCCGTGGTAAAGAAGTCGAAAGTCTTTTAAAATCGGATCGTATTTATTCGAAATTTGGCTTCATTTCTAACCAAATGAATGCTATAATTGCTCATGGGGAGAATAGTATGTTTTCACAATTTTGCTCTTGCGATAAGTGAAATGAATCACAATTACATGCAACGCAGTTTTTATTTCCTTTCTCTACTTGAAATGAACGTAAAATTGCTCAAAAGAGACTTACAGACGCTGAATAGCTCTTTTATTAATTCGTTGTTTTACGAAGTCTATGGTTTCTGACCACGCGTTGAGATGTGGATGCAGTAGTGAGAATTAGCTGCATTAAAAAAAAACGAGAATTTCGGGCTACTAGCTGGATTTCCGAATGATTCTTCAAGCTATGCTTTTGATGTTTATGGCTTTTTCCGGGAGGGATGAACGATTGAAATACGGGTGAGTAAAATGTCTCCAGCTAATGCCTACCTGTTCAATTCATTGCATGGCTCTGAACACGTTCACTTTTGCGTTGCGCAAGTTTTGAGATAGGCAAAAGCACCACATGTTTGTAAAAAAAGACAAAGTGAAGGCTTCTTGCCTTAAAAGTTCATGGAAGTACGCAAACAAGGTCAGTGTGTAAATGTTATTATACTTTAACGACCTAGTCTTAGCGTTATTCACTAGTGGATAGGTATAAATATAGGTTCGAGAAACGTTTGTGGATAGGGAAAGCAATTAGATATGGCGTCCGTTTCCTTCATGTTCCCGTGAATGGCTTACCTAGCCTAAAGCAATATGTAGAAAGAATTCATCAAAATTGGTGGCGATTCGACAACTTTGAACAAGTACGATGCGTGTGCAAATACTGATGTTAGAGTTATCTCTCAACAGGTTGCCGGCGGATGCGGCGGCGGAACTAAGAGCTGCTGCAGCAGCGGCAACACTGTCGGGAACGGCGACAATGGGTGAAGCGCATCCTTCCACATACTACAACACGGGCGGTATCTACGTCTCACATCTTCACCAAACTGGCGGAGGGGTGGGTTCATCCGGCCACACGGGCACTAAGTCCGCCTCGCCCACGCAAGAGGTGACAGTGGTGGCTGGAGGTGAGAACAAGCGTTTGGCTGGCGGTGGCGGAGGTTTCTCCGTGCCTTTCGGCCGCAACGTGCCTGGCCGCTCCACCATCCAGCACGTGCCTGCCTCGGAGACGCGCGACCGCCTCGCGCTTGAGCGGGCTGATCAGTGGTCACGGCCCCTCGTCCGGCATCCTGGCACCGCTGCCCACATGGATCAGAAAACCACCCTTGCTGACCTCTACAACCAAAACCTCATTCAAGTGAGTTCATCGGCTTTTGGGTTTACGTCACAATGGATTGATGCATCCTGGTGCTTTTTTGACGTCTAGTTTTGCTCCGGTGATGGCGAAATAAAATATAGAGCTTGATTGGATTTATTAGCACTTATTGTTTCCTATTCAAATTGGTCTCTTCATTTGCTCGGCGGAATATCAGTCAGACCTTATTATTCACATGAGAACTCCTTATCTCTGTTGGCCATCTGCCTCTTAATTCTGTAATTATTGGTTGCGAAATTATCTTTCAAAAAAATCGCATCACCACTTTTAAAAATTGCCTATTTTAGCCGTAAATTTGCAACTTGTACACTTAGCAGTCTCTCCAATAGGGCTGAGGTATTGGTGCGTAAGGAATAAGTATTGCGAAGATGAATGTCGAAAATGTTTCACATGCAAATGTCGGATACATTAGCTAGTCGAGTTGATGAGTGCCGAGGGATGCTATGCAAGGTCGAAAGTTACCTCCGCAATTGCATTGCAAACAAGTCATTCCCAATTATTCTGGTCGAATTAGTAAAAGAATATTCGCGTGGAAAATAACTTTATCAGATAAGGCTAACTGACAGCCGTGTTGCTTAGACTAAAGGTATTCCTTTGAAAGAAGGTAAGCAAATGCGCTTCTATGAATGGGGTCAATTGTTGCAGCACATTTGATCATTGGCAGTGGTTCGCATTATAACAACTGCTTCCACTCCTTTGGTGGATGCAAAAGTAATTTGGCTATTTTGCATTCAGCTTTACTACTGTATACAGTTTTCTTCGTTGAAATACCACATTTTTGCTCTGCGTCTGTCCAAATCATCAGGACCTCTTGAGGTAAAAATTAAGCGGTTTTGGAAAATATGTAAAGCATCATTTGAGTGTTACTTTTTGGACGAAGTTGGGTGCACTAACGAAAAGGACCTATCTCAGTTAGTCTTTTATTCTTTTAAAGGAATTCAGGCTCTCAGCTTATTTAAAATAAGCTCCCAACGTTGTGGCACTATTTTGAGGCAGTTTTTATTTTTCTTATATATACTTCAAGGAATCCACGTACATTCATTTTATCTTAATTCATAAGGTTGTTGAAACTTCTCCCCATTTCGTTGATGAAACACGTGTGTCTTAGACTCAAGCGACAGGACGCCAGAGCCCCTCAGACCTCTCAGAGATCTCGGTGACGAGCAACTCAACAACAGCTAAGGCCTCTAGCAACTCTGGCTCTGTAGATGACTTTGAAGCCGATGAAGACGGCGGGGAGGACGAGGGGGATGAGGGGGAGGAGGAGTTGGACGTTGACGAAGACGTTGACGATGAGTGTTCCTCCGCCTCCGCCTCAGCCAACTTTCGACGCCGCCACCCCATTGGAGTCGGAGGCGGTGGAGCCCCGGCCGCCTTCTCGCGATCACGCTTTAATCGGGACGGCACTCCGATCAGCCTGCAGGAGACACCGACCGTCGTCAAGGCTCGCGCTAGCACCCTCTCCAAGACGGAGTCCAGGAAAACCTCTACAAATTCTGGAAGTGGGAGCAGTGGTAGTAGTAGCAGTGGTGGCGGATTCTTGCGCAACCTATCAATGCGTTTTTCGCGCAGGTGTGAATCTTGGGGGCTGACACTTTTGAGCATACCAAAGTGTTTCTCTTTTTCAAGAAACATCTTTATAAATAATTTTGTTCTTTAGTTTATAAAGTAGTATTTTTTCGGCGCACCATACCCCACCGACCATGCCCTTCAAACGAGAGGCAAGGCTCTTAGATGATTACAAAGTACCTGCCACGGCTTCCACCACAAATTTTATAGATTATGCCATACGAGATTTGTGTAACCATGGTGTAAATCACTTTCTTATTTTCCGTAGCCCTCTAATTGACCAATTCAGGTAAACTCCCTGTACGTTTTATTCGATGTGTGCGCCGCTTGCGATTTTCGCGATCTTGCACCGTAATGTGATTCGCGCGACCCCCTTTCTCCCTCTCACCTCCCACCCCCACTTTTCGGCCAAGGCAGTGGTAGTGTGTCTGACCCCTTACTCCATCATATCCGCCTGCCTGGAAACCGGCTTTCACCCAGGGTGTTGCAGGGCGCTCATTAACTGCATACTCACTTTTTTGTCAGCAGCACCTTTACCGCAGGATAGTCTTATCTCTTACCCAGTTTTTCTCATTTTCTAATGGTACAGGCCTCTGACCTGTATGCATTTTAAATGTCAAGCGGGGAGTTGGATTAGTTGCTTCCCTTCATTTTCCAACTGCATTACTGCACATGGAAAAGACCGCTTTCTCAAGCGAGGAATTTATTAAATGGCTTCTGTGCAATTTTCAACATCTGAAACTATCGCAATATTTATGGTGCCCTATCGGTGGACGGATCCGGCATTCAAATCGGTCAAAAATTTCGGTGCCTCTTCCGTGTGCAACACATACATGCTGTTGTGATTGTGACTGAAATAATCATTCACATTGAAATCGTTTTGTAGGATGAGTTACGCTGAATTCATTTTCCTCATTTAACACTGATTTTTTAAAGTTCATGATGAATCCTTTAGATGGAACGATGGAATAAATTTTATTGCGCAAATGGATTAATGCAATATTTAGCCCTAATAATGCACACGTTTTCAATTAAAATTTCAGCAAGCTCTTTAGGCTTCCATTTGGAAACGGTGGCGGCACATCCTCCTCATCCCAACAGAGGGAGCAAGACATGACGACGCCGGACTACTCGACCCTGCGAAGTCTGCGAGGTGTGCCTGGAACCAGTCCATCGGAGGTGGCTCAGACCCCCGTGACCACACCGAAGTTGTCCTCCCATCGTCTGACCACTGGTGGTGGTGGCATTACTCGAAGTCGCAGCACTGTATCCGGCGGACGCAGTAGCAGCTGCCGTGCCAAGTCACCCGGTCGCATTTTTGGCCTGATGGACCAGCAGCAGGCGCAGCACCACGTGAGTCGGCGCTCGGGGTTCGTGCCCGAGACACCGGCGACAGCAGAACGCACCTCCCGCGATATCACGCCAACCAACAATAACGTCTATACCCGTTCCGCCTCGAGCGTCACCGCACCTCGCAACTCCCTCGTGGAGCATTCCATTCAGTCGGGTGGCGGAAGTGGTGGCGCTGGCACTAGTGGAGGAAACGCACGAGTACTCTTTCGCATGGAGAGCAACACGCGTCGCCAATTGGACGAGATGATGGCGGAGATCAAGCACGCCCTGCTGGCGTCCGGCGTAGCCTTTAGCCAGACCGATCATCCACATCGTCTGCATTGCACCTGGGTGGTCGGCGGCACCACCCCGGAGACGGACTTAGATTCAGGTCTCCCCATCACCAGCGTCACTGGCTCAGGAGAAATCTTGCGGCTAGAATTGGAAGTCTGCAAGCTTCCAAAGGAGGGCATGAATGGGGTGCGCTTCAAGAGGCTTGCTGGTCCTGCGGCCGAGTTCAAACGCATCTCACAGAAGTTGGCGGAGGACCTTAAGCTTTGAGATGTGGCTCTTGCATTTTTTGTCCCGGTTCTAACAAAGCGCCGCCGGGAGATGCCCCCGCCGTTGTTGTGACGACTATATCTCGTCTCACCTTCCCTGTCAGCCACTCGCCAAACATGTAAAACTACCGAAATACTCCCCACTTTCGGCTTCACACACACCTCAGAAGAGTGCGAGCACGCGTGTGCACTCACCGATGTGTTATCTCTTCACTCACCAACTCTCTCTTGTAGCAGGAAAGAGTACCTCCGTGCCTCCACTTCTTTTCGCATTTCTGTCTTATCTCCTCTTTCAGAACCTGACTTCGCACGCCCTCCCGGCCCCACCACCAGTGCGTTTCAGCGCCCCCAGTGCACATGCACTCACACCCACCTACCCACTCAGTCCACCCACCCTGATTTAAGACTGGCTTTTATTGTGCGCTGTTGATGACGATGATGATGATGAAGTCCAAATACCTTATAAAACAATCGTATTTCTGCCAATGGACGAGGCAAAATATTGCACCAAGCAGGACGCAAATTCCCTCACATTAAGGTACCGGACGCAACCACTCAGCCGCTAGAACTTCGGCACGCGCGATTTCTTCTGTGTGTGCAGCTGGCGATTCTATTTGACATCATAAGTCTCTGCGAGCATCTTTACAGTGAGGCAGCATCATCTGCGGTGATTTATTTACACCGCATTATCTCAACTCGAGTCAGTGGCCCAAGAGATAGGCAGCAGTACTAACGTACCAACATTAAACAATTAATTGTATACAGTCCAACAAATGGCGAAAACTAAATTCCATGACGCTTTAAGTAGAGAGGATCACGTTTCCCCACCATATTACTAGTACAAGGACTGGTCTGGATGCTGCGTGGAGGTTAACGATTTTCCGAATATCTGGCGCAGTGATATTGGAACTGACGTGTCAAAAAAAATTCCAAGCTCTGGGGTAATTAAGGGGATGGAAAATTATGGCCGTCCAGATCGCCAGACGCTCAGGGGGGGCGAACGGGACTCGAAGATGGTCGCACCCGTGAGCAGCAGTCCAAGTCATTGCTCATCAGTGTTTGGACAATGCCTGGCCATGCACCTGGTGCATGAGTTACCGCTTTCCAAGCGTTTGAGGGAGCTGTCAAAGGGTAGCTCAGTTGCCATGTCATAGGTCTACCAGTGGCTAGCGAGCTGTCGTTCACTAGATCCTGTTCTGCTTTCCCAGTGTCCTAGTTCTGCACAAACATGTGTGTAAGGTAGGGTACAGCCGGGCTACAACCATAAGCTTGACTGGTCCAACTAATCAGTTCCATGGCTAGAAAAGCATAAACTTTTGCGAGAGAACAATAAAACACTGAAGCCGAAATGGCCATCCTTCTAGTAGAAGGATCTAGATTTGCACGCCGCCTTAGTGTGCTGTAAAAGTGGGCGAAAGCAAGGCAAATTATCAAAATCACTGCTAAAGTAACCGGCAAAGGAAAGGCGAAACGAAGCACGGGGTAAGATAAATTAACATACACCCGATGGCTGAACAAAGGGGAAGGAAAAGAAAGTGGGTGGCATATTTCTTTGAAATACATGTATATGTAATAAACTATGGGTACCGATGCAACGAGGAGACAGTAAAGCCCAGGAAACGCGAGCTTTGGCTAATAAGAAGGATAGAAGGAGGCACACTATCGCGAAAACCAGTCTCCCCTTTCCTCATTCAGGAGCTCTTCCTTGTGAGCACGCAGGACACCAGCTGGATTGACCGGGATGAATTGCCAGCCGCGGTAGTCGCGGTGGGCCAGTTCAGATTCTTGGAACCACTTCTCCTCAGCACTAAAGCATATTCAAAAATTCACATAAGACTCAGCAACTAAAAAAGCGTTGACAATGAAAAAATTGGAGTATTTGCTAAGTTAAATTTTTCGGGTATCTAAATACAGCGTTTTAAAGTCTAGTAGAGGCAGGGTTCAGCCAATAGAGAGACGGAATAAGTGCTTACTACTTGTACCAACTCATGACAGATATAACTAATAAATAACACTAATTATTTCCTATCCACACCAGTAACCAGTATATTTACAAAACGCGACTTACACAAGTTCCATGGATTCCATCGCACGTTTTTGGTAGGCCAGATTGTTTTCATAAACTTGTTGAGGACTCCACATCATATGTCGAGAAATGAATCGCGTGATAGGATGCTTGGAAAGGTAGGCAAGAAAAATAGAATACCTTGTAGTATTCCCAGTAATGTGGTTCATAATCTTCAGGAGTTTCAACAAGTTCTGCTTGTCCGAGAAGTGTGTTGACTATAAAAGCCACTAACACACACGGAACCGCACCACACATAAAGAAAAAATGCTGAATTTGAGTAAACTATGCACAACATTGGCTCACCAACTCATCACAAAATTTCTCGTTTACAAACTTCGACTGCCTCACGTGCATGGTGCGATTACTCGAGTTTCGGCACCTCAAAGTGAAGATATGGGTTTTCAGCCATAGTTTCTTTGCGTATTCTCCATCCGATTTGAAAAAATTGACACCATATGATCGTAAAAAGGGGGTAAATGCAACAAATCTACTCCTCACGACACCAGCCCCGCGAAGCATTTTCAAACAAGGCGGCAACTGGGGTGATATAAATGGATCTTAACAGATTTTTAACTCCACTATAATATGTCAATTTAGCCACCTGTCCATAAATTGCTAGAAGTGAGAAGCCTAACAGCATTTATGGATATGTTTAAACCTTGTCTGAGGACTACACAAGTGCAAACATCAAGTGGATGAAGATCTGTTATAGTATTTCTTAAAAACCCGCTGCGGGAATCAAACATGTCTCACCGAAAAAGTTCAATTTATGTTAATTTTAAATAAATATTTTGATTATCGAAACTAATTTTGCTCCATACGGTCTCATTTAATCAGTTCGTAACGCGTGTTGCCTTCTTGGGACGCCGTGCAGCTTATCACAAAAAGTAACGTAACTTTTTGTACCCACATTTAATTTGAGCTTACATTTTGTATCACACGTTTGGTCGCCTAATTTTGTACCATGACCGACAAATATTATTATGTAATACTTATGTTGTTTTAATGTACCTTTCGGGGAGGAGGCAATCAGGAAATTCGAATCTCGTGGCCGGATCGTCCTCTCCCTT